TGTGCCAGGTAATTTTGGTTTGCTGTCTGTTTTTTGCCTCCTTTTTCGGTTTCGGTCTCGGTTTCGTTGTGTTTAATCTGTGCTAAGTGGCACGTAGCATGGAGAAATGTAGATAATCTGTAGATGGTTTTTTTTTGCGGAGTTTTCTAAAATTAATAAGAAAGTTTAATGGACAAGCTTCCCAATCGTGTTTTCTATGTCATGTAGTCGAGTAGGCAATGCTTCCATCTTCTTTGTTGAAGGCTTGTAGTCACATACGCGCTGACCTTCTGCCGCACAGACAGCTCTTAGGGAGAGGGAAAATGCATCGCCAGGTTCGAATTTGACTTTATGGTCCGCTTCGCCCGCCTCGACGGATCATAGCTTGGCGCCCGGGCACCACCCAAACCGTTTCTACTCTTCGCCGTAGTCTGTGCAGTCTACGTCTCGAATGTGCCTGGCCCAGCTTCTACATTTTGGGAGAAACAAGTCATGGGTATTTAGTATTCTCGTTCTAGATGGCCAAATCAACATAGCAGGCACTAAACGTATAAAAGCTTTCACTACATTTCTTTTTGGGCCAAAACCTGCCGCCAGCCCTGGGGCTGTGGAGCACATTCAAGTTTGAGCGTGCCACCAATCTTGGGCAGCTAGGAAGGCCGAAGAAGTGCAAGTCAGTGTAGGCAGGCGGGCTGAGCCTGAGCCGCTCTCCAGCTTCTCCCACTTCTCGCTCGGCTGTTCTGTTCTGCGGTGATTGGATCCATCACCGCATCATTGAATTTTCCATACCAGTCCTCCCCCTTTTTTACATACGTCCTTCGAGCCCCTCCAACCACAATGTTTCCGTCCAGGCGAGGAACAATCGAAGTCCTACTTGTTAAACCGTATGGTATACGTGTTCGGAAGTAAGGTGGGTTACGAAGTGTCGCTATGGTAGTGGATATGGCATGATATGGAATGGTATTGTTTCGATGCTGTCGCAGAAGTGCAGCCGTGCAAGCGCTGGTAGCCATGATACACTGCTTGCCGCAGACGGTTCCCCTCGGTGTCTTTAACATCTAGCGGCCCTCTATTGGCGTGATGAGATGCACAAGACAGGGGTGATGGCTTGTAGACTCATGCGCTTGGCGATTGGTTGCGAGAACGTGTGGTGCATCATGTTGTGGCCAGCCCTGTAGGCATATCCACCCTTGGTGCCTTTTACACCGGAAACCTAGTTTGTAGCTTAGTCGGTTAGGTCTTAGAGATAGGAGGTTAGTGGCGGAGTTGAGGATGGATACGGCCGTTGTGCTTACCGTTTCGGCGTCTGAACCTTGCATAACTAATACACTCTTCGTGGGCTGAGTCGACCATATCCTGTTTTGAGGAAAGCATTGTTTTCTTCAAGCAACTGGATATCAATAGGGTTCGCGAGAATGAAATGCAAGCGGCACTAAAAATCCTGGGGAACTCTTCGACGGCTGTCGAATGGGCAAGCTCAATGTCAGCCACCTCGGCAGCGGCAGCGATGTCTTATAAGCGTTCGGTTTTAAATGGCCCCCTTTTGCGCATGGAAACGGTCTAGTTGCTACAATGGAGTAAATGCGAATGAGTTTAGGTATGGAGGGAGGGTTGAGATAGCACTCGAGTTCGTCTCGAACTGGTGCTTGAACGATTCTGTTAGTACCAAGGGGCAACTCCTAAGGGGTTTATCGAAGGAGTATGGATATGGTTTCAAGTTTGCATTTCTGAGAGGCGAATTTTGGTTGCTTTAGCTTGTTGCAGTCTTATCATAGTCGGGAAGTAATGTAGATAGCGAGTTCGAGGGTAGTTCTAACACGCCATGAACTCTACAGTCGAAGCTACGTCACGAGGGGAGTTTGATTAATGCCCAATGTGGCAGAATGATGAAGGCGGTGGAAGCGGAACAATTACCGGCTCCGGCCTGGAGGGTACGAAGGAACCTGAGGCACACCTTCCGCTTTGGTAAGTCGGTGCGCTCTAAATTCACTCGTTTGGCGCGCAGACCTTCTAATCTGCTACAATTCAAGGTGCTGATGGTCTAAAATGCCTGTTGCAGCTAGCCCGCTGGAGATACTTGAGGTGAAGTCACGAGACACGCCATTCATGGTTTTCCCTCTGGCATACTTGTCCTATATTTTTAGTAGCTGGTTGGTGATTATCGTTGCCATTCGGGTAATGTGATTCCAGAGTAGAAGAGCTAATATTGCCGTCCCTCACACAAGGTAGGGTAATTCGATCAGGATATAGACGTCCACTCAAGCTCTTAATAATTAACAGAAAGAAGCGTTCAGGTCCAAACCAACCCCTATCATAACTCCACACATCCGACACATTGAATGTCCACGATAAAGCGCCCCTGAGTCGTTGATTTGCCAAGCATGGCTACATCCCTGATGTAAGATCTACTACCCCGGATGGATCTAGCTATGTTCAGCCCCTTGGGTCTTTCATCAACACACTTGATTCACAGGATCGGCATTCTTGAAGAGGAACGCAGGCAGGTCAGCGATCTCGACCTGATCCCTGCTCGCAGTGTGGTGGACTGAAGCCATTACGGTATCATGGCCAAGCAGGGGCAAATTTGCACTTCAGCCAGTCACTTCATGACTCAGCGGTCTGTATACGACAAAGTTGTGGCAGGTTTGGTAGAGAGAGCCAAAGCGACTCTGGGACTGGTGATACTTCTGCCAACGATAGGTTTTAGGGCCTACAGGTGGTGTCCAAGGCTCAATATGAACGAGGGATACCATACAGGAAGAAGAGAAATCAGGAGGATGTGACAGTCGGGCTTGAATGGAAACCCTGTCAATCGTCGAAAGGAAAGTGAGTCTTCATCGAGCCCACTGTCTTCATCAACGTTATAGATGAGATGACCATTTACTGACAAGAGATATTTAGAACCTACGTCATTATGAGTGCATTCTAAACAGGAGGAGAAGTCGCTTACAGAGCCGATAATGCCGCCTACGATCTTGGAACCGTGATGTTTACTCAGGATATCAAAGGTGCTCAACCCGTGTCTAGGAAGTCGAAGCTGGAAGTAAGTTAGATATTGGGTACAGCCCTGCCGAGCCCCAAAATGTGCTTATGATGGTGACTTATCTCTTCCATGTGTTCTGGAGCAATAGTAGAAAGGCCTCTCATTACCCCTTTCCCCCGGATGCAAGGAATCTGGTATGAGATCCGAACGAATTACCGAGCAAGTTTTGCCCCTTCACAGTAGTGAGCAGATATTCTTGTCTCTTCTATTCATCATCTTGAGATGTCGGGTTTGGCATCTTCTTTGCTGTTTTAGTAGTTTGTACTCGAACTGTCTCACCCGTACTCTTGCCTCTTCAATCGGTGTTACGTTGATATTCTCGGCCGCTTTAGACAGGAGACATTGAAAGAAGATAATCACTTTTTAGAATATAATTACTATTCTGGTCTTCAAAGCGCTGAACTGCGGTAAATATTTCAAACTTAACGGGGAAAGAGATAATCTAAGGTGGTTATATCCAATTTTACCAACACCTTTTTCGACCCACCGAGCCACTCTAGAGTGCTGCTTGTGTGTCATCATCCGAAGCATCGAGGATTCTTCATTCTTCTTGTTACCCCTCACCCGATCCAGTATCTATTACTTTGACTCTTCTTCATCCCTTTCTTTTTTCAGTCGTGTTAATTGTTGCGTGATGTCCCGTAGCTCGTCTTGGATGTTGTCCTTTTTGGCGAAGACCTCAGCCATGAAAACCCTCAGCCATGCTTCGAGGCTCGTGACTCCGACTGTGTGGTGGGCTTTGCTAAATGCATTGAAAACAATGCCAGTATACATATTATTGAAAGAGTATAGATGTTGACACCTTTCTGGCACACAGGTTGGACAGGGAGGTATGCCCTTAAAATCCTGACCGTAGGCTTTAAGTGTAGTTTCCACTGTGCCCATAATTTCAGCGAGTGTTGAATTATGGTCGCATGTTGCTTCAACGGCATCCTCTATCACGGATAGTCGCTGCACAAGAATCTTTCGCATAAATTTTTCGAGGCGAAGCTCCTCGATCTTGACCTCCCGCTTGCGCCGTGTGTCGCGAATCTGGTCTTGATCGTCCATGCTATGAGCATCCATTGTGTCAACGTTGCAGATACAGAATGCGTAAAATTTGATGAAATATCTGTTTCGGTGATGCAGGATGAGGATGGATTTGAAGATGGGTAATTAGGTGCGGCCTCGTGGTATTTATGCAGACCACAGAGCCCTTTGCTCAAGCTTTGACCAGCTTTGACCTCCCCTGGATTCGCCTTGTTCATACATACACAAAGCAGGCGAGTCTGGGATCACATGTACTTTTGTTTCATACTACTTTGTTTTTGCGACTAATTCTAACTTTAGTGATTCGACAGAGACATGTTCATTCTCCGATGCTGCTGCACAGCAACGGGTGCTTCTCTTTTTTGACTGCGCAGTGCTGTCTTCGAATCTTTGTCTTAGTAATAGACTTCTAGTTGGCGAACTTGGACTTGATGTTGCTGAAAAATCCCTTTGGTTCTTTGTCTGTCGATAGTTAGTTGACTTTTCTTGCCCCTTTTTTGACGGCAGGTCCAAAGAATGTTTTTTTTTTCGCCAGCGATGTTATCGGTGCAGCTGCCACGCTAGGCGTAGACTCGGCAACGAATAATCCGAGTAAATGTTAATCCTTGTCAGTCCACGACCTTCTTACAATTTGGTGCACTACCTCTTAGGAATTCTTTTGCCAGTTCCTCATCCTAATCTTCCAACTTGGAGCTAGCAAAACCTGTGAAGTATATCCCTAAGCATACACGTAAAGTCTGTAGCCCCTTTAGCACGCAAGCACGACGTTGGGAGCTTAGCCGTACTGTCCTAGGGAGGATATCATTTCGCTCGAACTACCCAAAAAGCATTGCGAGAGGACCAAGCGGAGAGCATCATCAAGAACTTGGTAAACCCACTAGGAAATAGAATACGGCAACATTGAGAAACCCAATAACGTAGGGAACCTCGGTAGCCCATGAATCTAGCATGACCAGGTCTCGTAACTCTCGGTAGCAAGATCGTTGGAGTTGACCTGGCTTATCGCATGGCTAGGTAGGAACTTGGCAAGCATTTCACCTTCTGCAATGGATGAAAATTCTCCTAGGTATTGAAGCGCTTTCGATTGCTCTTCAGTGGCGACTTTCTTGAGCCCGGGAAATGTGTGGGCTTAGCATGCAGCGGCCATGCTCCGGATAGGATCATGATAACACTTGATGTACGGATGATGGGATGAGCTGTTCATCCAGTCGACCAAGCTAGCTACTCCGTGGTTGGGAATAAAGGGGTGCCTACCTTTTTGGACTTGCACTTTGGACAGCCATTCCGGGACTTTCGATGAGGAGCCCTGGTTGGCATTACGACGACGATTGAAGGAGAGGGTGTCCTGGTGGGGAGAGGCAAAATCCCGAGACTAATGCGATGATCTTGATCGCGGCTTGTCCAGAGTGTGTATATGGAAGCGAGGTCGGAGGCTGGATGTAGGAAGCAAGATCGAAGATTGAGAGATTTTGTGGGGAGAAGAAACGATGGGCAGTCCTACCCTCCAATAGATCTTGGCATCGCCCCCAATCTCTGTGGGCCACCGCCGTCTCTGGACAAGGCATGCATGAGCCTATCTTGTTGCGGGGAAGACTGGCCCCAAGTAGGTAAGTCCGGCTGTCTCCATCAGCATCAGTGAAAGACAAGCTATACGTAGACTCTGCGTAGAAAAAATACCGGCATAGGCAGGTTACATTGTGCAAGCGAGTAGTGAATCGGTCAGTGGCGGGCGTCATCATGCAGTCAGGAGTGAGCTCAGTTAGTGGCTCGCCAAAAGGAGGGCAAGGATGGCCGGGACGATCCGTAGCAGCATGGGTTCAATCTCGACAACGCTGTAGCTGGCGGAGCTATTACTGTGGAACAAACGGCATTGTCACCTCGCCGGTGTTGGACGTCCTTCAGCGGTCAAATTGGAACAGGCTAATCCATTCACTTTACTTGTGCGTAGGTATATACATTAGCATATTGCTAGCCAACTACATTCACGGCAGAGTGGAGGTAGCTGGCTAATACCGTTGATGCCGTGTTGTTTTCCAGACCGTTTGTTATGCCGGCGCTTATGTTGGAATGTTGCGGCCTGCATGTGGTGACGTCGTCCATGTGCGTCGCCAATCAAGTCCACAGATGGTGCTTCTTGGAATGCCCATTTCACGTCCGACCCCTCTCCCTTCATTTCTACCCCTCGTCCTAACACTCGACGGACCCCCGATGATTGACAGGCATCCTGTTCAGCATCGCAGCATCATCCACCATGGCGGCTGACACTGCCAGATGGCACTTTTCCAAAAATCTTTTCCTCTTATGGCTCAGCTTCGTCCTGTTGCCGCTGAACACAACAGTAATCGCGGCAATACACCTCTGGAGCCGATTTCGACCGTTCAAGAGCCATCATGCCCGCCTCGAGTCAGCAGCACGGCCGGCGCTCCCCAAGACCGTCCTGGTCACGGGCCTGAGTATGGCGAAGGGCCTCGCGCTCGCACGCCAGTTCCATCGTCGAGGCCACAGAGTGATCGGCGCAGACACCCGCCCACTGTGCATGGCGCGCGTCTCGACGGCCGTGGACCGGTTCTATGCTCTCCCTAAGCCGTCGTCGACTTGGTGCCAAGCTGATCCGCATACTGTCGCTATGCTGTCTCTGCTGCGAGAGGAGAACATCGACCTTTGGGTCTCTGTGTCGGACGTGCACGAGGCTATGCATGACGCGCAGATGCGGGATATGATTGAGCAGTCTACCAATGTCAAGTGCATTCAGCTTGGTGAATCGGATACACACAAGCTGCACGAAAAGGACCTCTTCATGAGCCATGCTGTAGAAATCGGTCTGCCAGTCCCAGACTCTAAGATTGTGCACAACCACAATGCCATCATCCATTTCTTGAACAAGAGAGATGCACTTCGCTTTCGACCAGGATCGCCGCAGTATTTGGTCAAGCAGATCGAACAGGATGACCACGAGAGCAGATTTGACATGACCCTACTCCCGTTGCCAACAGAGCAGGAGACGCTCCAGCACGTCCACAATATCCCCGTGCACTCTTCGAACCCCTTTCTTATCCAGGAGTTCATCAAAGGCGAAGAGTATTGCACTCATGCGCTCGTCGTCAAGGGTCAAGTTCGCGCATTCCTGGCATGTCCCTCTGCTTCTCTCCTGCTCCACTACAGCGCTCTGCCTCCCGAGTCGTCTCTCGCGCAGGCTATGCTAGGCTTCACCGAGAGAGTCGCTGCAGCCGGAGGGGCCGATTTCACTGGTCACGTCAGCTTCGACTTCCTCGTCAAGCCTCGCCACCCTCAGCGGGAATCATCCAAGGATATACTCGACGTCGACTTGTTTGCGATTGAGTGCAATCCGCGTGTGCATACTGCCGTGCTGCTGTTCAATGATACGCCTGAGGTGGTAGATGAGTTCTTCACGTTCGACATTGATGAGAAACCACGGCCTCCGGTCTTCCCGAGAGATCTCAAGCGGTACTACTGGGTCGGGCAAGATTTGGTGCAGAGGGTCATATTCCCCTTGTACCAATTCTTCTTTCTGTGGACATTGACTTTTACCCAGCTTCGGCAGTCATTGACCCTGTTCGCTCAGCGTCTTTTGTTCTGGAAGGACGGCATTTTCGAAGTCTGGGATCCCTGGCCGTGGTGGTGGTTATACCACGTGTACTGGCCCGTGCAATTCTTGAAATTTCTCGTCAAGGGGCGATGGTTCAACATCAACGTTAGCACGGGGAAGGCTTTTTCAGCTGAATGAGGTCTCGGCTAGAGCTGGAGGGAGCGTGCCTTGAATTTGCTTTGATATCTGAGTTGCGCGTTTTTCATTCTCCAGTGCTGTGTTAATTCATTACTTTTTGGGTAGCTTTTGGGATCGATAATAGCCTGTTATTGGTGGCGTGGATTCAGCTGGACGAAGTAGTTTTACGGGGTAATTTTAATATAAATACGCTTACGGCTGGTGCCTCATCAACGAAGTTCCAATCGAGGTTGCTCTTGAGTCCATCGAGACAATCCCTCTTCAGCCTTGAACATCATGCCCAGCTTTAAGAAAAGTAACTGTTATAGAAGAGAGTTCGTCATTAATTCTAAAAATAGCTGAGGTTTATATTTTAATTATACCAGGTTTTGGTATAATTAGTACTGTTAGTGACCCTACCACCGGCCCTCCTAGCAACCACTTCGAAGAATAGAAATTGCTCCGTTTCAAAATGTCTCAGTCTTCATATCTGCTAAGACCACGTTCTAAACTAAGAAGACAAAATGGTGTATAGTTCAAATTAAACCTCCAGCTATTTCTTCTCAGCTAGAGGATGCAAGACGTCGGGTTTATTTGCATTATCCCAAGGACCATATTTTCGATCACAGGAATGGCTACACAAACGCAGAAAGGAGCCAGTGCCATGCCTCCGTTTCCCATGGCTAGACACAGGAAATTATGAAAGCTCCAAATGTAATTGCCCTGGCATCCAGACTTTATACAGCCGACCACGTGGTGGATGCACCTGGAGTTCTCCAATCTTTGGCACGCATGCTTATCATCCGTCTGCTGGCAGGAACAGGAGCAGCAAAGACCCGAAGTATTATGATTAGTGATGTCGCAGATGTTGAAGTATCCTACATTGACAGGGTGGATCAAGCGTCGTTTATCGGTTCAGTCAATCTATGTCGCTCTTGGAGACGCCAGACGTTCGCCTACCTCAGCCCTGTCCTGGCATCGTGGAGTGATTCTTCCTCCAAATCGGCTAGATCGAGTATTTAGGTAGATGAACGTAGGAGCTGGGCTGACGACAGCCATCCTCGCCGCTATTCCGATTTCGTTGGAAGCACTTCTAGATAGGACTGTGGTGAGGGTTCGAAAAGGTAGGATGTCGTAGAGATGGCGATACAAGGATTAATAAATCCAATGATGGGAGACAGATTCCCATTTCAGTCTCTCCGGAGCGAAGGCCCACTGGTACGTACCTATCTGGATTCTGGATTATGTAAGCTATCCTGATTGGGTTAGAGCGCTGTATTCTACCCAGTCATATTCTCTGGAGCTGGCCCTTATTGCAGCATCCCAGCGAACTAGTACAGCGCTTGGTTAGTAGCTTCATACCCATCGATTTGGCTGGAAGATGGAAGACTTCCAAAATTAAAAAAGACGCCCATCTCTCGTTACAAACCAACTGTTCGTTGATAGCCACAGAAACACTCTCAGTCGACTAATCCTCGAAATACAGTTCCGAGTGTCGGATCCCTCAAACGGAAATGCATTCATCGTACATCTACAGAAAGCAGATTGAACAAACCTGGGCTACCGCACTTAGGGCTGATCCTCTGCCATGATCAGGATCTCCCATACCAAAGGAACGCCAATGCGTTGGGGATTTTTTTTTTTTTTTTTTTGGGCAATAAATCTTCATCTGGTTGTCTTGCTAGCTTTTGGGGCAACTGCTTCTTTCTACCGGAACAGGTAAGTGCAAGTGATGTCTTACACATACAGCCGAGATAGTCCTAATCGCGCCGTATTTAGTATCCCTGCCGGATCCGATTCGAACGGAAACGTAGTATGAAATTGCGATCTTTTACTTGCACCTGGGCCAATACATCCTTGAAAATCGCCGAAAACATACCGCGATCGTTCTCAGCAGCTCGTTATTTGGCCTAGCCGCCGCCCAACGAATACCCTCTTTTGTTGGCCATGCACAATATTCGGAGTCGAGCAGAGAACTAAGGAATCGAGATGGAAAAAAAGGAGACGAGCGTGCATGATGAATTATCAAATGAAGTGCTACTGGGCAGGCAAGTTGCCCACGAGAGGGCGATGATTCTACCAAGAACGGCGAGCCGGCGATCTCCGTTCGTTGGAAACAACCTATGCCTTTGGAAGATATGGGGCTGGAATGCTCGCATTCCTTGACAATCCCATGTTTGCAATCCCAATCCCCGAAGCAGCATCCGGACGCAATTCTGCCGTTTGATGGTAGGGCGAAGATCTAACTGTAGGACATAGATATGCCTATCCCTGCCCCTTTTACATTCGGCGGAGCCGCCACCTTCCTCAACTATCATACCACGCCCATTGAGTTCACCGCACTATTTGAGATTTCAGTTGCCATTGTCTCCTGACGCATCTGTTGGCGTTATTGTCATGAATTTGGTGCGATCGCTCCTTGACAACGGTCCCCGTCATGTCGCGGCTGTTGCGAGCGATGAGGTCTTCCCTCTACACTTCATCGATCGAAGCGCTAGTCTTCGAAACCCCATACATGTCTCAACCTGGTATTTTAATGATGTTCTCGACGGAGACAAGCTTCATCAATCACTGGACCATCTGCTTCACCTTGGCAACTGGAAGAAACTTGGCGGACGTTTCAGATTAGACAAAGATGGGAAACTCGAGATTCATGTGCCCGAGCAGTTTACATCCGATCGGCCATCTATACACTACTCGCACGAAAGCCTGCCCATGCGAGCTGTGGAGCACCCCCTCGCCTGCAGAATACCGAAAGCTTCATCTCGACCTTCCTTTCACCCAGCAACCGAGGAGTTCCTACTTCCATTGACCGCCAGGCCAGGAATACCCCATAACATGGAAGATTATCTTTCGTCCGACGAGCCACTTCTATCTCTTCGGGTCGTCGTATTTCTCGATGCTACTATTGTTTCACTGGCCTGGCCACACGCCGTTATGGACGCGGTGGGTATGGCTTCTGTGATCCAAGCTTGGTCGTTGGTTTTAGCCGGAAGGGAAAATGAGATCTTGCCAATCGACGGCGTCAGAGAGGACCTCCTTTACCAAGCTACTTTGAAACCAGCAGCAGAAAAGTTTGCCCTTGAGCCATACATGCTCACTGGATTCAGTTTTTACCTCTTAATCTTCCGATTTATCTGTGACATTCTGTTTGGCGGCCGCAGAGAAAATCGAATAATCTACTTGCCACCGAGGTCTATCCAGAATTTGCATTCTCAGGCGATGTGTGAGATCAACCTCCACAGGAAGGAGCCACTGAAAATCAGTCGCAGCGATGCGATTCTAGCTCTCTTCTCAAGATGCCTAGTTCTGGCACAGAAACGGCCTCTACTAGTCGTTGTCCCCATGGACTTGAGGTCGCGGCTGAAGGATATTTTCCTCCCGAGCATGTCCTATCCGCAAAATGCCATCCAGGGCGGCCACTTCACCGTTAACGCGGATGAAACGACCACTAAATCTATTGGGCATCTGGCTTTAGCTTTCCGCCAGAATATCATTCAGCAAGGGGGACGTCAACAACTCCTTGCCATGTTAAGATGCAATCGAGAGATTTCGGACTCGGGCGGTGACCCGGCGACTTTGTATGGTCCATCCAACGCTATCATCATGTCGGCGACGAACCTGAACAAAGCAAATCTTCTATCAATACCCGACTTTGCTCCGGCAGTTGTCCGTGCGAGGTGCAGAGAAGAAGCGACAGGTTCTCCTGGGACACCGTCTTTCTTCAATACCTCCCATTCGAAAATGGCCTGGAGGCGGGGTAATATTCTTATGAATCTTGGAATAGATCAAGACGGGGGCCACTGGATCTCGGGGTCGTTCAACATCAGGACATGGAAACATGTGGAAGAGAGTCTAAGGGATCTATGAGAAGATTGATCATCCCGGCAGTCAATCGTCAACCACTAGAACTCGACATGAGCAACTGGTTGGACGTAGGCCTTCGCAAGGGTCTCCTTTTCTATCTAAGGTCACCAGTCTATTATATTTTCTATTTCTATTCATTTTATTCTCGCTGCTTTACTTGCAGAATTAATCTAACAGAGGCTAGGCTTTAATTGTAGATTACTTTTCTATACCCAAGTAGGTAGGAGTAATGAGGGGCGAAGGAAAATCAAGGCACATCTTGAAGCAAAGTCGTGAAAAGCTTAATGTGTTATTATGTTGAAGAGCGAGGCACCTTATTTTTGGTGCGGAATTAAGGGGTTGTTTGTTCAAAGAAAACGCGGCTTCTCACCGCCCAAGCTCCTTCATCCACTTTCCAATATCACATGCCAGTCCCTCCCCAAGACTGTCATCATAAATACCGGCCTGCCAACTGACATCGATGCACAAACCGCCGCCTTCGATGCCTACCGCGCTCACAACAAATGCAGATCCGGTCACTTCGGAACTCAAAGAGAATTGCCCATGCTCTATCTGCCATTTTCTCGGCCCGCCGCTGACTGCATTGGCTTCTGCATAGTCGCCCTTTAGTACCCCGATGTTGCTTAGCAGCCAGGCATACTCCCTTGGTCTCTTGATTCTTTTCTTTTTCTCCGTCTCCCAGTCTGACACATACCTCAAGAGGCCCATCATCTCGTTCTTGAGCCCACAGCTCAGCCTATCCTTGAGCTCCTTTCGGACGATCTTCGCTGCACCCCAGATCATCTCCTCCGTATCTTCCATCGTGGCTTCCTCCCCAAGAATCTGGTCCCGGATCTTGCTCACATACTTCTCGTCGAAATAATGCGGCATTACGCTAACAATATTAAGTATCAGTTCATGCGTCGACACTCCATCCGGCGTTACGGGCGCAAACCGCCTTAGGTCCAATGCCGACTGCCCCGTAAATCCAGGGGCCTCCTCCCTTCCCAGCCGGCCAGCAAGCGACACCAAGCACATGGCATGCATGAGAGCAGTGAGCGTCGTTCCGTGTTCGCGGCAGGCCTTAAGAAGTCGCTGCAGAGTTCCCGCGTCTGCCGTATTCGTCCTGCGGCGCGTTGTTGCTGGGCCGGGCTTCAGGGGCGCCCAGTGGGCAAGCAATGTGTCACGCATTGCCACTGGTACTGGCCGTTTCTCCTGCCAGACCTGCTTGACTAAGAAGGCGCCGGATAAGCTAAACTCACATAGGGTATTCATGGCGGGTGGGAAGGGTTGGCTGTTCTCCGGTCTGAGGTGGATTATGCGGCCCTGAAGCTCTTCGGGCTGAGTAGGTGATATGAGGTGCCTAAGAAGTAGTTCGTGGAATATCTTTGCTCCATTACCGTCGGTAATGGTATGGTGAAAGACGAAATTGACCTCGAGGAAGTCGCCGAGCGATGGTTTGCAGATTGCCACGTGCCATCCGGGTACGGTTTCCAGCTCCTTGAACTTCTTGTCCACATTCTCTCTGATGCTGACCTCCTGCGCTTTTTGAAATTCCTTGTCAGGGATTTCCCGAAGCTTTAGGTGCTTTGCGAGATCGATGCTCTCAACGTGGAGGAAGACACTTCGCGTTGGCGATTCTGTCCGGACTCCAACTTGCAGCATCGGCTGGTCGAGGACAATGCGAGCAACCGCTCGGTCGAAGCGGGCTTGTAGAGCATCGAGTCCAGAAGGTAGCCCTGGGGGGATGGAGTATCTGCAGTTCAAGCTCGTCCCGCAATACAGATCTTTCGAGTGCTGGCATTCTAGATAGCTCTCCCTTTGTGGTTTGCGAGTGAGCATTCGGTTGGGTATGGACGAGCAAGTCAACGTTAACTTACAGATGCCCGAGTTTTCTGAGGACCCTCGGGTGCCCGGTCTCTGATTTGGTCTTCTTTGCCATGGCGGAAGGAAGTGTAGATGGAACAGTCAGAAATCCGTAAAAACCCGCCGCGAATCTCCTCGTTTTATATTAGAGCTTGTTGAGGATTGCCAGGGACCCCTGCATATGCAAATGCCGAAGCCGAGTAGTACCCAACTTCTCCGAGCCAACTCTATTCCTACGACGTTTTTGCTCCCATCTTGTATAGTGCTAACGCGATACCTAATAGTCTCGTTTTGCCTTCTATCGTAATAGACCGACATCAAGGTAGGGCTTAGAACCAAACCAGAGTCCGGCATTGGCTTCAGCATGCATCGCTGGGAAACAAGCTCAAACAAGAACTCATGACCCGATGCAGGGTTCAGCTGCTCACGTCATCCTCTTGCTAGATCTAATTTAAGTGTGCCCATTCGGACGGTTTCTCAGCAAAGTGTCCGGCTGGTGGAGTCATGGACTGTTCCTGGTTTTACTGGGCTCAGAGGCTCAGGCATGCACTTCATGTGTTGGTATAGGAAGGTAGTGTCACGAAACCAGGTGGTGCGTATTCTTAGAAATCACTCGAAAACTATTATATATTCTCCCGGAAAAGCAAAACGCGAAAACCATGCCCCCCTGGGCAATATCCACCCATGCCCTAAACTCGGGCCGCCAGCGTACCAGATGTGGTCCCTGCCGATCTTGTATTGATCTTCTGGATGCTACTAGATAGCATCCTTGCCATTGGTGGTGTCCTCGGCGAAGGAAAGGTTGGCCATCTCGTTGGCAATGATCTCGGCGAGAGACTCGCCGGGGGGAGGGGGGTTGAGAGCGCTCCAGTGGTCCTCCTCGGGACCCTGGTCCATCCAGCGCTGGATGGCGTAGCCGGCGTGGAGCTCGAACAAGCCGAGCACGGCTACCATGCTCACATCCCTACAATGGTCCCATACAGTTAGCTTTTGATGCATGGAGGGTATGAACCAGGATATCAACTTACCGAGGGAGGATGTGGCTGCTGATTTGGCCTGTTGAGGCCGACTTCACGAGACCAGTGGCTGGCATCATGGTGGTGTTGGTGGTGTTGGTGGTGTTGGTGGTGGCTGTGGTGGTTGTTGTTGTTGTTGTGATGGTGGTGTTGGTGGTGAGACTTTGGTGGTTGACTTATAGAAAAGTTGAAGGAGGGGAAGGGGGAGGAGACAGGAGAAGTGGGCGGTCGGGTACGAGGGAACCTGACGAGTCTACGCGTCTCTATCAAAATGAACAACCGTTGACAGCTGGTAGGCAGGCTGCATTGTTCATCAACACGCACAAAAGGGGATCACCCTTAGCTGGGGGGACTTTCACTCAGGGCTGATAATCTTTCAATACCCTGGGACCTGTTTTGAAAGCCTGTCACAATAGGAAATTTTGAAGGCAGATACAGCATTGTGAAGTATGTATTGGCCTCGTAATGCTGGGACTTTGGCTATTCTGTATCCCTGGGACCAGTTTTGGGAGGCTTACCGCAAGGGCAACGAATCGATGGGCCGTCCCCAGCAAGACATTATGACACTACTGCAAACTTTTAGCGCCCTCATCAAATTACCTCCTTTATTCATCATTCATACAGTGTAGCCTTAGACGACCATAGAAGGAAGTGAAATATGTTGCTGGTAAGTAAAAGTACGGCATTATCAACAGTACCTCTATGGCCATGAGCATCACAATCTATAACTACTCACCATTTATTTTTTCCATATACAATAACAGTTAATAGTAGAGATGAATAATTCATAGATTTAGCGTCGCCCATCTCTCTTTTCTTAGGGGAACAATGGATATCTGGACATGTATGTGGGGGGGGCCGGTACTCGCACGGGACAATAGTAAGCGGCAGTTGTATAGATGGGAGTGATTCGACTGCACAGTTAATTTATGTCCGACAGGGGCTTATGGCGATATCGGTAGTATCGGGGAAATTGGAGAAACGTGCTTGGAGTATATCGCCCTCGATTTTGATGCTCGGATCTCGTAGGTCAAAGGCAGTTTATATGGCGCGGGTAGGTAGGCTGGGCATCCCACTACTCACTGGCTTTCAATTTTCCGGGAATGAGTATTACCACAGACCAGCGAAGCCAGACTGGGCTGGATTAGATGCGATTCTCATCATTGATGGTGTTCAAATTGAAACCGCATTCTTGAACAATGTAAGACTTCAAACTTGTGAATAGGAGTTTCTCATGAACATAGGCATGCTGCCCTCCCAAACAATGACAGCTACTACCTACAATGAAAATAAATCCACACAATACCATCCATTTCCTTGCCCTATGGATGAGAATTGTAGACGTAACAAACCCATCCATTGAATCATAACCCCAGTGCTTAATTCACAAACCATTGCCAGTAGCCCAATCATGGCAGGCAGGCGAGGAAGATGAGTGGACCAATCAGGTACCTGGAAAGTGCCTAAGTGTTGAGTGAGTCACAAGCTGAGGGAGAAGGCACTGATCACGCCTTCATGATTGGGACAGGTACGTACTCGCAGGGCGGGTAATATCCTGCACAGAGCCGAGAGACTATGACTGATAACTTGATTCAGCACTGGAAAGAATATGACTACGCAAATTTCCCTAGGAAGCGGCCGAGGAACAAATCCCCGATTAGTGATGCTCCTTTGCTACAGAGGGCGACAAAGGGAAGAAGGCTCCATGGGACAGGACGGTTCATGGAAGGAGAAGGACGGCAAAAATAGGAGAAAGCCACAGCTGAGAAAGACCAACTGGACCCTTACGAACCCAATATGGCATGTAATTATGGCTACGGTGGCCACAAGCACCTAACTCAGCAAAGGCGATCAGGAACCTTGATGGCCTCCAAGTCGTCCTTTTTTCTGTAGCCTCCGGGATATCAGAAAAAGGAACTTTACAGGACTCAATACTAGGAAGACCCTAGCGGCAGTGTTCACAACGTCAAAGGCTTCAAACGGCCTGAACTTCTCTACAGCCCATGGGGAACTCATTTCTTGCGACCTTAGAGACAAGCACCAAGGCCAGGGGCCACTGGTATGGACTTGCCTTTGAAGTACGGTCAGAGCAGTCACTGTAGGTACCTAGGACCGTTGAATCGTAATTCTATCAAATGCGGTTACCTGTTTATCCATGCGTACCTCCGTTATGTTGATGTATCGACCTAGAGTTCAGGGTGGGCAGGGCAACCGAATACCAGAGGTGACGCCATCAGCCTCTCCCGACGCCCACAGCTCGGCAGTTCTTACTGCCGTGCGACCCCAGGGATGTTTTAGGTAATTTGACTGTATAACCCCGCTGGGGATCTTTCCCATGTGCTGGGAGAGTAACTGTGAGCTTGATGTTATCCGGTCCTTGCTCTCCTAAGGGGAAAGGGGGCAGCAGCTAGGCAGGGCATTGTCCTGACCTTTGTCGCTTCCAGGAAGCTTCGTACTTTGAAACACGGGAAGGATTGAGTTGAGTGGCTGAGGCTTGCTGATGACGTTTGTTTACTTGTGTTCTACATTATAAACATCCCCCATCTCCCGACCATCCATCCTTTTCTCCATAACACATAACCACCTTAACTCCAGAGTGCACTCATCCCAAAACACCACATGCACTGTGGCCCCTCGCCTTCGGCCGTCGAAGCGCTCTCCCCCGTTTAAGGGGCCACAAGCAATCAAAGTAAGCCCATCTTGGTTCTGCCCTGGCATCTGGATACAGAGTCTGACAAGATCCCAGACAATCAATGCTCGCAATCTCGTCGCAATTAACATCGGTATCTTTACCATCATTACCGACATTATTACCATTATTATTGGTATTTCTATTATCAATACACAGTATTACTTTCCATATGGCTGCCACATTGTTGGCAGCCGAGCACTGCCATCAGCCAACAGGAATGGCACAAGAAGATTTATCATCATTATGGACATCTCTGCCGCGAATATGGCATCCATCACTGTCGGTATAATTATCACCATTATCATTGTCAGTATAACTACTCACCACCGTTTCCGGTAAAATCACTCCCATTACTAGTACTGCCATCAACTGACACGAGTGGCATAAAAGATCCATCATCACTACCGACATCTTTACCGCGATCGACACCTCCATTCTTCCATTCATCATTATCAGCATCATTCACGACATCACTATCATCATTATCGGTATATTTAGGCACAGCCTCTCCGCGTGCCTGGGCACAAAACCACAGACCGTAAGCTTTTTCATTCCTGTCCCAGATAATCTGTACCCAGAGCTGACAGAGCTGTAGAAAAGGTGCTTCCAGCATGATGTCCGGTTTGTCACCATCATTATCAATAAGATATTATTATCAATATCTTTGATTATGATTATCAGAATCATTATCAATATTGATATTATTCAACTCGCACTCTTGGTGTGAAATAAAGGTCATTGGCAACGACGGAGGGGAGACCCTTGGGATTCTCTCTGACCAAGCATTTATATCTTTATCCGCCAACCTTCGAAAACTTCGTAAGTGCTTCCGATACCATGAGTTCCTTAGGCGGCTTTACTAACTTATCTATTTTGTGATAGTCGGCGATCGAAATATTCATATCAATATATTTACACAGTTGGAGGCTCAAGGCCGACCCGGTCTTGAACCCACGTTCAGACTCTTCGTTGTTGTCAGGCGTATTCAGGGGCTCATACAGTTTTCAATTTATTATGCTTGAATAATAATTCTGTCGAGGTGGCTACATCACATGTGACCCCATCCATGTAAAATAATTAAATAGACACAAATGAATATTAATTAGAACCAGTCTCCAGTTTCACGTTGTGGTATCGCGGCTCGCTTGCTGCCAGCATACTAACTACGCCTTACCCGTCTACCATTCCTTGAGGAAAGAATGGCTATGGAAGAGACTATAATTTTCACTACGATCTAATTTATATGATATTCTCCATAGCAATCTCTTAAGAAAGAGAAGCACTGACTGAAGAAGGGTTGGAAGAGCCATTTCGCTGCATGTAAAAGAGGGAATAAGCCGAGTAAGACCGTTCGCCCAGAGAACGCAATCACCTCTCCCTTATGCGAGCCAGCAGCATCAAGCAAGATAATTATTGGGATGCTGTGAAGCGGATTATATGGACGGCCGACTAGAAAAGGGGTGCTAGAAAAGGGGCAAAGGCTTTTTCAAAAAATGTTCGGAGACCTCACTAACTATACTCACATATTTCCAGGAAAGACAGATGGAACACAAGCTCTATCATGGACGTTGATTCTATGCGTATCTCTGATCGATTTGCAAAAATATCCAATACGCTATTATCAACTCCAATAAGATACTCGGATGGGAAACGCCATGTATCTTGAGCATTTCAAGGAAGCATTCTTCGATGTTGCCATAGGACTACTTGCTTTTCTATAGGCCAAGCCCTTTCTCATACTCTTTCCACTTGTCACCAATAGGCTGTATCAGAGTATATGCAGCCGGGCTGTCAAACTCCTGAACGCCGTTCAAGAGATACAGCGGTGTCATTTCTCCATCCTCGCTAAAGAAAAGCTTTGGCCTTTCTCGTCTGTAGTACGTTATCTCTCCGCCGTCCGTAAACTGAACTGTCGTGTTGTAAGTCAACGTCAAATTTTCGTATTTCCACGGCCCGCGCCAGTCCCTTGCAAAGGCGTGGGTTCCAACTCGCGGACCCTTGAGCCCTAGTGGGATATCGACCATATGATGTACGAGAAAATGCCAATGTCCGCGCTTATCCCTCCACAGAAACGGATCTTCACTGCGAAGCGAGGGGTCGATCTCGATGTTTCCCGGCTCCACGGTAAGGTTGTAGGGGCCGGCATACCCTGTGGGGCTATAGTATATATTGTTCTTCTCGGCTGCAAGCAGCATTTCGCTCGTCGGGTTCTCGGGCGTCCACAGAGGCCACGCGGTGGGGTTCGTAACGTTGACGATCAGCGGGATCTGTTCGGTCCATGTCTTGAGGTCGGGGGAGGTGGAGACGGAGATCGTATTGTTCGTCTTCTTGGAGCCGCACGACGTGGGAGTCTCCCAGTCCTGTCCAATGAAGTGAATGAGATACTTTTCGTCGTACGGGCTCCAGACGACTGTTGGGTTGTGTCGAAAGGTGTCGAAGAGATCCTGCGCCCAGGTGAACGGACCTCGAGGCCCGGTTCTCGATTCCGCTCGAATGACTTTACTGAAGGGCCTCCATGCCGAAAGACCACAGCCGTGTGTGAACTGCGAGATGATGAGGTGGAACAAGGAGGGGTCGTTGCGGTCGTGGATGATTTGGCCGCCCCAGGAGGAATTGCCAGCCCCTTCCCGATAAAAGTCTGGGAGAGAGATATTGGTGTAGTTGTAGCCTGTCCAGCGATCAACGGGCTTCAGATCAAGCTCCCCACAGTTGTAACCCCGCCAGCCCGGGTCGCAGATGCAGGTGTGGTTGCAGGAGCAAATTCCGTTGAGGCTGCAGTCTTCCATACTCTGGCAGCTGGCGGCAAAAACGCCTGCAGCAAGGAGGCTTGTCACCACTGCGCAGCCGTTTAAAACGGTCGGAATACGCATGACGTCAGAAGAATCCTACGTTATCCCTTCACGCGGGTTATAAGATATGGTTTTGCTGGTATCAATTTCTTTCACAATCATTTGCACACTGGTGATTTATACCAAGGATCCGGCTAATTATGAAGATGGTGTCGGTGTCTGCCTGCCAAGACCCCGGAAAAATCCAGCTCGGAGTATTTCAACCGCGAGACCCGAGAAGCTGGCACGACCGATAGCTTCTCTTCTGGCTCTCCGAGGCCATCATCGATTCGACAGATGTTTAGAGGCATTGTGTATAGTTGACATGAATACAAGGACAGAAGGATGGAAACGGTGTTGGCGTTATCGTTAGAGACCGTCATCAATGTGATAACAGGACCCACGTCACATGTGCATGAAGATATGGAGTTTTGTAGCGGGGTTTCGACTCAGTGGCTAATGGGCCTTGCTCAAGCTTATTGGCTTTTCACTTCTTGACTACACAGCACTACTCAAATCTGACATTGAGGGATTGCATTTTCCGAAGAGGGCACCAAGTCTTGTTGCTCATCTTTTTCACCTAAATAAACCAATCATACAAGCCGGCTGAACAGGATCCCCGGTCGAGCCCGATCTTGCAGGCTCTCTTGTAATGTGTATTTCCTCTTTGCCCAGTACGGATACCACTACCTCATTTCCACTGAAAATCTAACCTCTTTGTGCGTTTTGGGACGGGTGGCTCATTTTCCGCTGTTCTTGGGGTTTTCGACCCTTTCTCTTATTGTCCGTTTCCGCAATGACTTGTGAAGATAATAGCTCCAAATGAGAAATCGCTCGTGCCATCGCAGCTTCAGATCCAGGTGAATGTGTTGTCCATGAAACACGTCTTGCAAATTTGAGAGTGGGGTAATCTTCCGCACGAGCATATGAAGTTAACGGAGATGATTGGGTCGCAATACAAGGGGCAAACGTCTGCCTCTTCCTGATTGTTGAAAATGATGTGACCCCAGAAGGGTCCGGAATTAGATAGTCCTTCTCGATTGGCCTCGCAGCATGAGCTCGCAGGAGCATCTTCTTGCCACTTCTCAAAGATGATGCTGCTTGATGGGCGATTTGGTTTGACCACGATCTGGTGTGGTCTTTTCCCGGACACATCCTTGAGCAGGGTCTGGGAGCATTGCACGAGATGCCTGGCATCCCTTAAGCCGATGTAAATCTTTTTCGTTCAGATACCTAGCCCAGCATCTAGCAATATTGCCAGGAAGCCCATGGCAGATCGAAGGGATATCGACATCATCTTGGATAATGATGTGGAAACTATTTTCTGCCCCGGAACGACTTGAACCAAGGACCGAGGAGCCGTCGTCTCATACAAATGCCTAATCCTAGTAGTTTGGAATTTATTAGCTGATAAGAATGTCTATAGTATTTGAGAGGGTATCATAGACTATTTATACTGCTGTATCTTACCACAAAACGGTATCTGCTCGACAAGCCCTACCCAAGTCTTGACGGAACAAAGAAGATTTTCCAGGTTTCAAGTAATTGCAAATTTCGTTCAATAAGTGGTGAAGTTACTGGGTGAGCCCAGAAGAGATACAGCACAAGAAATCGCTTCAAATCTCTCGAGTGACGAGCGTCGTTTGAATACCATTGAGTCCCGTCAAGGGCGTAGATGGGCTTCACCAGGATGGCACTGATGCGAATTTCCATGCTTGTTGCGCATAGTGGCTAGACACTCGGATCGGCCTTGCCGAACTTGCTCTCAATCGTATCGAACTTGGGTCTGATCGAGTTTTCCAGGAGCTTAACCATGCTGGTCATGCTCAGTCAACCCTAACCGGTCTACTCCTTTGACCATCAGTCACAACTCGTAGCCTACCCCCCCCCAATGTGAATGATTGGATGAAAAAGCGGCTGGACGAAGCTGATGTGCTGGAGAGACTGGGTAAGGTTGATGTACTGGCACCTGAACACCTGGCTACTCGCCGCTCGCCGCTCGTGGTTTTCGGCCACTAGGGGTCGTGAGTCCTAAACATTGACCGACGGCATCGAATAGGAGACCTGGCGCAGCAGCCGCTTGGGGGTCGTGCGTGGTCCGGCCTGTTGACTGTTTCGTCGGCATAACTACCTTCAGTACCTAGGTGCAGTAAAGGAAGATAGGTGTAGCAGATTCGGAGGTACCTATTACATAGCGACAGGCTTTGAAAAGAAGCATCGATAATATCTGTGCCTTCCACAAATGTAAATGGTGATGACGATGGAGTCTCTGCCTCAGGCCTTCAATAAAAGCGGCCGAGGTTTAGAAGAGAAGGAAATGCAGCAAGTGGGGCTAAGTCTGCCGAAGGTGCGGGCCGATGGACCTCCCGATTCCAAACTGTGCCTAACCTATAGCTGTCCTGTCTCGCCAGAAACACCGCTCACATCGTCATTGCAGGCGGATACTTCATTCTGTCTTGAGCTCGGATGAATGAGCAGGCACAATTCACCACAACGAAATCCCCAAGACTGATTAGCATTCGACCGCAGGTAAATACTGAAATACGCGTACACCATAGCGACTTTAAGAAATCGACACGAAGATGGTGGCTGAGAAGTGTCAGTTGACGTCAACAATGACAAGGCACCCTTGCTTGGCAGTGGCTAGGGGACTACGTCCCAACAGGCTGATACTTTGTGTGGCGATGTAAGCCCATCGCCTCCCTACAGATCTTCAACCAACTATCTAATCAATACTCTCTTTCAAGGCCACAAACTCAACCCGACTTCACTCGTTTTCTCGCTCCACGATCCGATACATGGTTGCATAATGCGTCTCCTCAATGCAAGAACCCTGGAATTCAAATTATTCCCAGACCCCAAGACGCGACCCGAGTATGCGATTTTATCCCACACATGGGAAGACGAGGAGGTCACCTTTCAAGAATTCCAACGGCCCACAGCAACCATCCAAAGCAAGGGAGGCTATACGAAAATCAAATTGGCATGCGAACAAGCAATCAAGCATGGCTTGCAGTACGCTTGGGTTGATACCTGCTGCATAGACAAGTCAAGTAGCACTGAGCTGTCGGAGGCCATCAACTCCATGTTTCGATGGTACGAGGAGAGCAAGGTTTGCTTTGCATTTCTCATTGATGTGCAGCCAGGTGTCGATGCATACGGCCCCGACTCGGCCTTTGCAACTTCGCGATGGTTTACTCGAGGCTGGACGTTGCAGGAGCTCGTTGCGCCGAAACGGGTCGACTTTTTCAATATGGACTGGGGATATATTGGCAGTCGTGACGAGCTAGCCGCCCCCATACAAAGAATTACATCAATAAATGAGTTCTACCTCGTTGATCACCATCAGTGGCCGTGTAGACAAAATCTACTTTGCACAGCCAGTGTTGCAGAGAGAATGAGTTGGGCTGCTAGACGGACGACGACCAGAGAGGAGGATGCTGCTTACTGTATGTTCGGCATGTTTGATATCAGCATGCCTCTGGTACCTGGGGAGGGTGCTCGGGCTTTCCAGAGGATCCAAGAAGAGATCTTGAAGCATTCATTCGACCCGTCTCTTCTTGCATGGAATTTGGGTACCATGAGTGCACCAATCGACCCCGAAGCAAAAGATAGCCATTCAACACATCGCTCTATGCTCCGGATGTTTATGGGCTTGCAGCACCCTTGGTACGCGGATACACATCAGATCTGGGACGGCTGTCAACGACAGAGCTTGTTAGCTCCTAGTCTTCAAAGCTTTCGGGATTCCGGGAATATCGAATCCGCAACAATTGCCGGGGACTGGAAAACTACAAACGAAGGAATGAGCGTTCTACTTCCTAAATCGGAAGATAGGTGCCCCTATATCCTGTTACCATGCCACAAACAGACCACACCATGGGCGCTTCTTGCTATACCGGTCGTTTTCGACACCAAAAGCCAGACTTATGCCAGATCCTCCCTTCCAGTCATATGGGTTGATGTGGTAAACTGGCATCGATGGCCCCTCAAACAGATCACCCTTTCGGTTGACACAAACATGAAGCGCGGCAATTCACCGCGATACTCAGGGGGCGAAGTACTGCTTCGACATCTTCCAGAAAATCTTAGACTCCTGGAATATAACCTTTATGGAAACTGGAAACCTGGACCTAGGGCCAAAACAAAATCTCAGGTCCTCTTGCCATTATCCCTGCCCGAATCTGGATTTTTGACCATAGCCCTTTCTATTCAAAATCAGGCTACCGGGAAAATAGCCACCGTCATCATCAGATTTAGTGCTAAGAATGATAGCCTCGTTCAACCTACGTCACCGGGGACCTCAACACAGTGGCTCGATTCTTCTCAAGTGGTCTCCTACAATCTTTTTGGGATGACAAAGACTGATATTTCGAATTTCGTGGAAGGTTTGAGAGGCAGTAGCAATGACGTGGGACTGAATCCAGTTCTTCCTACCAACGGTGACTCGGAAACATATGATAACGGGATCCCAGGAGTTTTCACACCAGGACCAGTACCAGATGAATCAGCAGCAAGTACCCCGTTAGCTGTCAATGTGGCACAGGACTCGTTGTTAGACCGCCCTGTATATGACGTACGGATCACTCAAGCCGAGAAACGGTTTTATGACCCAGTTTATCATATATTTGGCTTCGCGTGGACCTTAACACAAATGAAGCTCCGCAACTGGATGTACCGGATGGGAGACTTCGTTCCGCTTTTTTCATGGATCTTTCTTATCATCACCATATGCAGCATATCTGAAGGAGTCGTCGACCATCTCTTAGATACACCGAGCGTCTACTTCCCGACTAATTCCATGAAGCAGGTTCTGACACAGGGGCCCTCGTACACCATGGCCTACGTGGTCATGTACAACGTTCTTCCTGTTTCTTGTTACTTTTTACCCCGGTCCTCGCAGTTGATCTACCAAGGGCGGTGGCTCTTGGCTTTACCATTAGGACTAGTAATACACAGAGACCGGCAACTCACCCTTCCGTACCTGGCATTTGTATATTTCCCTTGGAACCCGATCACCGTCAAAGCTCACGGGCATCCTTCCACCATGGAACTTTACGCTCGACATCTAATCGAGTTTCTGAAGTCAAATTATACCATGCTCTTTTATGTTCTGGGTTTTCAGTTCGGAGCTACCACGTCTAAGCAAATAATTGCGGCTCGTGCATTGCTTCTCCCCCATTTGCTTGGCGTCTTTCTTTACATCAAATATCGGATAATCCTCCCTTTCTTGACATTCATAAGCGAATAAAGTTAGGATCATGATTTCTCCGCATGACGACTTGGATGTACCTAAGAGAAAAGAGAATAAAGTTTAACAGCGATGGAAGCTGCCAGGGCCGGACAACTCAACACAATGAATTACGACGACTTGGATGTAGTGGCAGGTAATGTTTACAGCAGCTGAGGCGAAATGCAACCCAGTCATGCGTTCTGCTACGTGTCACGGATGCTCTACTCCGATAGGGAGCTTACAGTCTCCTTCTTGAAAGGCGACGTCACATTGGCTAGATGCCCCTGTTGCGTTCAAGAACAGCAGTATGCAGCGACAGAGAGGGTGGTCAGCCCGCTGGTCCGTTGTCAAGTATGACGCTGCGCCAACTGGCCAGCGCCACTCCAACTTTTCGAGGCGCTGTTTGGGTACCTCTATCATTCGGACCCGCCTGATTTGTCTTGAAGGCTACCTTCAAGATGATTGAAGACGGTAGATACAACCAATTTTCTTCCAAACCTGTGTTGTGTCTTTACGATACGTCGGTACGTGCCTGTCTGGCCAATACCCTTGCAGCCAAGCAATCGCCGATAGAAAGAGTTACGATGATGCAGGAAAATCTGTCGGGATTGATTGCTTGGCGAGTAGTGCTAGCGTGATATGCAGCGTAACGCTGACCGAAGTACATCTTTTCTATTACCATGAGTTGATCTCTGTTCACTGACTGCTTTGCTAGGATGACCAACCAACAACACACTAACACGTTAAATTACTACCTTGGAGGACCCAAGTAATAAAAGCTGACGTATGGCTTGGCGTGGATCAAGAGAACGAGGGACTTGACCCGGCCCCCTCAGGGTTGTAGCTAGGGTGGAGATGATGCTGTCTTACGTCGTTAATCTCGACCTCGCAGCATGCGTATCTTCTCCCTTCCACCTGCGACCTACATATTCATACATCACTTTTAGACACTACAGTTATCGGATTACCGAACTCTTATATAGGCCATAATCAGAAGCAGCATTGAGAACCTTATCAAAATTGAAGAATTCCTCGATGTCTTCATCTTCTATACTAAGTCTAGAGGGCGTATGGACCTACATCTCACTCAGTAGCGCACTTCTTGTCCTTGCATTATGGCTCGGACACCGAGTGGTCCTCGCACTTTACAATATCTCTCCACTCCATCCCCTATACAGTATACCTGGACCAAAGCTGGCCGCGGCTTCGTATCTTTATGAAGCATGGTATGACTTAATCAAGGTTGGAAGATATTCCTGGGAGATCAAAGCTATGCATGAGAAATACGGTATGTGATTACAGGGGAAAATCATTGGGAAAAGAAATCTAACCTTTGAAAGGATCAATTGTACGGATAAACCCGGATGAGCTTCACTGTGATGACTACAGCTTTGTCGAAGAGATATACCCGTCCGTTGGAAACCGTATACGCGACAAGCAGCCGCATTTTCTTGCAGCATTCGCTGGGCCACTTACCGAATCTTCATTTGCAACCCGATACCATGAAGTAGGTCTTCTTGAATCAACCCTCCCCGTTCTTTCACTGTTGACAAAGTTCGAAGCTCCATCGTATCCGAAGAAGCGCTATCAGCAAATTCTTCTCTCGGCAGGGGATGCTCATGTATGAGCCAGAGGTTCACGAGCTGGCGCAAAAGATGTGCAATAAACTTCTGAGATTGACGGAATCCGGCCAAGTTATGAACATTGCGGATCCGTTTAATTGCTTCACGGCCGATACTATTTCTCAGTATTGCTTTGGAGAGTCATTTGGTTATCCTCACCTAAAACCCATCGATGATCGCATCGTAGCTAACCGTCAATTGCGGCAGGATTTCTCGATAGACCTGATTTTGAACGCAGTTTCAAGAAGGCATCCCAAACTATTGTCAATACTAGCCATGTCTTTCGTCATATTCCAATCCTACGGCACTTGATCGGCCTAATGCCTACAATTGGCCCTTACCTGGGATCTGATATTGCCTTCATGGTCGAGTCCATGACCGAGACGATCCCTAACCACATCATCCGAGCGCAGCAACAAAAGTCTGTCAGTAGCCCGCGCATCTTTACCGAGATTATGAATTCTCCAATACCTGAAGAGGAAAAGACTATTTATCGCCTTTCTGGTGAGGGCTGGTCCTTGGTTACGGCCGGCTCTGAGACCACTGCTGTAAGCACACACTAAATAGCCGGCTGCATGACTTACACTGACGAATCTTCAGTCTACTCTATGCGCCATCACATACTTCCTCTTATCTCAGCCCGAGAAGCTCGCGCGTCTTAGGGAGGAGCTCAAAGATGAAGATCCTCACAAGCTAAGCTGGGTTCAGTTGGAGAAGTATCCATACCTGCATGGAGTCGTATTTGAAGCATTGCGCGTTGCCTTTGGCATTCCTGTTCGTACTACGCGCATTGCCCGTGAGGAAGATCTCGTATACAACAACCGCGGATTCAGCTATGTCATCCCCCGAGGGAGTACGATTGGGATGAGCGCTTTCATCAACCATAACAATGAGGAAATCTTCGCTGATCCGGATAAATACGAACCAGAGAGATGGATTACTGCGCAGGGAAAGCCTGACTATGGGATGGAGAAGTATATCATGTCCTTTTCCAAGGGATCACGCCAATGTATTGGAATGAAGTAAGTGCGCATGGCAATATTTGACAGTTGGATTTTGCTAATATAGACGGATAGCCTTGCATTCTGTGAGATATACCTAGCCACTGCGGCCATGGCCCTTCGAGTTCTACCACATCTGAAGCTTCATGACACAATTTATGAGGATATCAAGTATCATCACGACGCTATGATTTCACAGCCTAAGAAAGGAGCTCGTGGGGTCAGGGTTAAAGCCATAGATGCGCATACGCGTTGAAAGCAGGATCGGAGTGGTCAGATGCATTGGTCCAGCGGAGTAAAGTTTATCTAAGTTAAACAAAATTACAGGAAGCTACAGAATTGTATTCAATAGTCCTAGATCCATCGCCAAGTGATGTCTCTTGTCGGATCCTTTTTCTTCAGAGTGGGAGGTGAAAGTCGCAACCAACGATGTCTTAGCAACCAGCAGATAACATTACTGTAAAAACCAATAACAAGGGTACATTTTTGGGAACAAGTAGAGAACCATCGCTGTAAGGTCTCCAACCATTACAGATGGAAGTACACCAACACAGCCAAGCGATAGCGTTGAGGGATGCAGCGTGAGTCGAATAAAAATCCCAGATCAGATTCGTGGCCTCTAAATTTAAGTAATTAAGGTCGTAAGCGATCTATGACCCCACTTTAGAAGCAATTGCATGCAGGAATTAGAAAAGAGAAATGTTCGGTCGCGACTGTTCAGCTCTCTTGCTCGTTGAGCCGTTGATGACAAGCTCACTCCAGCAGATATTGTACTTTCACAGCTCACTGCAAGAAAATAGCATGATTTTAAAATCAAAACATTCAAAAGAAGGATGTTTACGTAAATTTGTACGTAATTGTAGTCAGAAGTGTGCTCCCAGATGTCGGTGCCCCAATTGCAGCTGCTGACGGACCGTTGGGAGGTTAGGCCGACCTCGACAACAATTGGATCCCTAAATACCTTCACCGAGAATCCTCGAGCCACTTGGCAACATTTGGGTCCCTGAATACTTTCTCTTGTGAATCCTCGAGATACTCGACAACAATTGGATCTCCGAATACCTTCACTTGAGAATCCTCGAGCCACTCGAAGACAATTCCTGGCTGTACTTTCGTATCGATTTCTGTGCGGCTCTCTTCCTCCTTCCATATGGTTCCATGCTCCATTCAAGTACCAGTGGCTGAAAAACATCATGTAATTGCGAATTTCAGTGGAATGGACCGAAGCAGATATCAGCAACATGATGACCACCTGCATATGTAAAAATATGTCTCCCAGGATAGACAGCGTAGGGGCTTTAACGACGAAGCAATTCGTCATTCTGGGAACAATGCAATGAAAGATAAGTCAATGGCCATAAAGGCACATACTAGAGTTACTTATCCCGCTACAGGCAATGCACTGCCGCTGTCGACTGGCGCCGCCGTGCCCTAGGAACCAGACAAGTCCCCAACGTAGTTGTAATTCTAGGGCATTCTAGGTGCCTCTCAGTAATTAACAGTGCGTAAAGATACCATCTGGCAGGCTGGCTTGTTGGTCTGTCAGGAAGTTGGTTATCTCTTATCCTGAGGGCAAAGTGAGGACTGCCCTCGCCCACGCCCCCTCCCCAATAACAAGTACAACGCGCCATCTCTCCCCGTCCCAAGTTTCTCTTCAGCCACAACATTCTTCCAAAATGTTGATGACACGAAAGAAGATCCTCGATAGCGTCCCCCGCTATCGAGCAGTCCTGTAAGTAACTTATCTTTCAACATCTCTTCTAAACCTCCTGATCACTAACACCTCATTCTCCCTGGCAGGCAAGACGAGCCGGAGTATTTTTCGGTTGGGCACGACATGGGCATCCCATTCGTGCTGACCGAACAAATGCAAAGTGAGAAGGATGCGGCGGTTCTCGCCTGCGGCATCGGGGACGCAAGGCTCCTCTATGCCACCATCGTCTTCGCGGCGATGGTGGCGCCCAAGTCCAAGCAGTTCCACTTCACGCTCGTGGACGTGAAGCCCGCCGTCTTTGCTCGCGATCTGCTCGTCTTCCACATGTTAGTGGCAATGCGGAACCAGGCAGGCGAGAAGAAAGAGGAAACAAGCTGGGCAATAGCCTATGTGTTTGCCGGCCAGGTCATGCCGCCCTGGGCTTCTGAGATTCTCCATGAGAGCATATCGGCTCTCATCACCGCGTTAGAAGATGCCTCCAGCAACGTCATGGACATCTTCTATGTTTCTGGTCCTGCCCGTGAGAAGATCATCCATATCTTGAAGCAGTGGCGTGAGCCTCCTGTGGAGATCTACACGGTGGCTGCCATCCGACGAATGATGGTAGAGCAGTCGGACGCTCAGAATAAAGCCTTCGTCAAGGAGTCTGAAGATGAACCACCCAACCCCAAGCTCCCTCCCGGCTGTCTACATACAGACAGTGACGCACGACTCTTTAGCGACATTCATGTCGCGTTGCCTTCGGTGCCTCTACTCGAGAGGCATGAGCCCGAGCTCCTCGTCCTTTCTAAAGCGTATCGTGAGAGTCACAGTCCCTCTGACCGGAAGGCTCTGGACGACTATATCAACTCGACCTGGAAGCCTAATGTCACCGTCATCGATTTCGAATTTGAACTCAAGTGCGAGGATCGCGGAAAGCTGTCTGGTCAACCTTTCTTCAACTGGTCCCCTGACGGCGTTGCTACGGCTCTTTTCATGGCCCTGCCATACCAGATATTCCTGTCCAAGCCGGGCGTGTTTGAACATATCTCCGCTTTTTTCCGCAAGGTTTCATCCAGTCTCGAGAAGCTCGGCGACCGCATTGTCATCGAAGTCGTTACAGGAGAGATGAATGACACATTTGAACGTCTGCGATACGGGCTCCTCCGGTTTGGGCAAAAGGCCATTGGAAACCTAGACCCGAGCAAGTTCCCAAACAGATTCGACAAGATCGACATGAGCAATATCCCGTAAGTCTTCCACGTCTCTCAAAACCGACCAAGAATCAACTAACCGCCTGCTTCTTAGTGATTACGTCGGGGGCTCCTTCACGTCTTTCATCCACGGTATACCCCTCCTTCGAGAGGAACGACGATCCCTCCTGAGATCCTACGTACTTCGAAACCTACACGCCTGGGATTCTCACGATATATTCCTAGCAGAGTATCTTGTCCTCGGCAAACGCGAGGTGATTCAGTCCCATTTCCGGACAGATCTTACGCAACTCTCCTTGGGTCATGAACTTAGGAACGCAGGCAAGACTTCACCTTCTGGAAGTACAGCCATGAGCACTCCATTGGAGTGGCAGCGCACCGCGCCACTCTCATCGCATCTGCCCCTCGGAGACCGCATGTCACGGCGAAGACTCGAACGGTGGCTCCATTCTCACTTCCTCAAGCTTTGCCTGCCGCATATTCGCTACCGAGCCTCGAATGTGGGTGTGAGCGCCCCCCTGAACTTGACATCCTTCCTCCATCTCATCGCTCACGTCGTCTCTCTTGGGTATCCACGCGCTTGGCTCTCTCGCGTATTACACAAGTTGTGCACTGGCATGTTGACTCAGACTCAAGCCGCCCCTCCTGTCGATGAGATCACGGACGAGGACCTGGCCGAGGTTATATTCAACCCAGTCGACTTCTCCGTTGGTCCTTTCGCCGCAGAGTTTCGCACTCTCGTCGCCATCTGGGAGCCAATCCTCGACGTTCCCTTGGCCTGGAACACCCCCGTCGCTGGCAAGAAGCTCCTCCCGGAAGCCGAGATGATTCGAAAGTTCACCGTCCGATTCCCGAAGGGGCCGATCGTGACTACAGGCTTGTTGGAAATCAGCTGCTTCTCGGTAGTCCTGAAGAAGAAGTCGCTCAAGGCTCCAGGCCGCACTCTCCGAGGGTTTCTAGACGACCGGATGGACGAATGTCCCAAACTTCCTGATGCCAAGCGTGTCCGGAGGGAGCCGCATGTACACGTGATCTCGGCATGCAAGTTCACGCCCGAGACGTTCGAGGTGGAGTTTTGGCTCGACGAGAGAGAGGTGGACACCCTGGTCGCTGAGACTGGCTGGGAGGCGTGGATCTGGCGCACTGATGTGTACGAATCGGCCATGGGCCCTGTTTCTCTGGACAGTTATGGTGACTTGGTCAAGGGCGAAGCTTGGTCCGAGACGATCTAAGCAACAAACGAGACTCTCGCTGGATGTGGGAGACGACTGATTATGAGAAAAGAAATTCTATTGAGGAGAGAATTTCGGAATGGTGTATCGAAGGGAATATTGAAGGCACGGGCCTCTGAAACGGGAGCTTGATACTTTGCGTGGAAGAAACTTTACAGGATCGTGAGGATCCCTTGGTGATGTAATAATGCGCGGTAAGATGAGTCAAACTTCGGACAGGGTTACGTCCACATAAAATCGGCGAAGGAATGTTATTATACAGAGATCCGATGCGGAAGTCTTTGTATCATGGTGGTCAATGCTATAAGATGACAGAGACCGCGAAGCTGCGGTGAATTAATTCAAGGAAAGAAATTCAGGCTGGTGATATGCATCCCATCATCTACTATAAGGTCGAGTGAAACTCAATGTCTTCTATTCTGATGGAGCTGTCCTGATAATCACATGTTCAATATCATCACGGCCCACCTGCGGTATCTTTAGTTGAAAAATCAAGAACCGGCTTGCATTATTGTACTGTAGACATGTATCACCCTAATCCAATCTATAAAAACGCCATCTATCCCATAACCAAACGCATGATATCATGAATGTTCAACATCCTCAAGGCCACTTATTCTTGTCGTAGACGATGTCACAGCTCCCAGATTTCTGACCAGTAGCAGCCTTTATAGCCTTGGCTACCATAGCCCCAGTACATTGCGCGCGGACCTCGAATTTCCACTTCTTGACTTGCGGATCATTGATGTCGTGTTTGCACTCCTTTACAATCAAAAGGCCGCAGTTCAGGTTGACCGCCTTGCCCTTCTCCTCCAGCTTGGGACAGAGACCGTCGACGGTCATGAAGGGCTCGCGGATGCGGGCCTCGTAGGTCCAGACGAAGGGGACGTCCGAGTAGTATTTGCAGGCCGTGGTGCCAATGTCGGCGGGGATCTGGCCGCGCGTGGAGAGGTCTACACTGGTAGATGTGCCCACGGGAGCGGCGGTCGCGAGAGGATCCAAAGCCGTGAGGAGGGCCAAAGAGAGAGAAGCGAGCCTTAGACGCATTTTCTAGGCTGTGTTCACTTGCGTGATTCTGGTAGATGAGTAAGACTGATGAATGTATGCAGATGGGGAGAGTTGGTATTCTCGTTGTTTGATAAATCGCTTGACATGGATGATTAATAACAGAGGATAGAGAATCATTGAATACCTACTGACATCATGGCCATCTTATATTTGATACCGCAGGGAAAGAGGAGCTGTCATGTTTCAGGCACAGTGCTAAAGCCAGTTTCTTGATTTCAAGCTACCGTAAGCTTTGGGCAGCACTAAACTCCAAACCGGCAGTTTGGGACTCAGCGGCCGCTAAATTTGGCCAACCTTCTCCTTCAGAAAAGGTAGGTGGCAAAACTGGCTGGGAAATACTGGGCTCAACGGCTCCAGTTCGTTGGGAATCGACCTCTTTCAGCTACTGGAGCAGCAGGCAGAAACATACACCTTCGGTCTACTCGCAAATGTGTTTTATGCTGTCTCGGTGCCAAATTAGTCTCTACCACCTCCTGAGGCTCTCCGGAACTTACCGAGAGACAGCACTGAAGTCGCGGAGATTCTTTTGCCAATCGGGCGCCAAGTACCATATACTCATTGGAGCAAAAGGCAGAGAGGCAGTATTTTAAGAGGAGGCTATACGGGGAGAAGCCTCATTCCGTGCACTGGAGGTTTTGGTGGACTGTTTATCATCACTTTGGGAGTGTGGTACCAAACTGAAGGAGAGGACAACCAACCGAAGCGGTGCGCAGCAGGCTCTGGCAGGACTTTATGCCACGAACTTGGGACTTATTTTTCATTAGCAGGATCTCGTCTTCAAAATAATGTATTAGTTCACTCAATCAATCTGTAGCTGCCTCCTCCCATCTTGATGTTTTCTGATGAATCCTTTAGTCTAGGGTATGCTGTTCGGCTTGAGACTTAAGTGCCGGCTGTTGGCTTACGGCTTGTGCGGGACTCAAATTACGGAGAACAGGCCATTTTCTGTGGGCCTCGGACAACGGCCACTTGAATTCAATTCCTCCTAAAGTTCTAGAACATGGAAATTTGCCAAGCCAAGTCCTTCAACACCCTTGTAAATTGCACCTGCGGAGCCAATTCCGGTGATGGAATTTCATTCGGCCTTGTGCCTTGTCAAGCAGCAACGGACCCAGATCGATATAGCACCTCTTTCCATAAACCCCGCCCCTGCTTCTCTTTCTACACCTCCTGAAACTTTGGAGCGTCATGTCAGCTTTAAGGGCCATCAACAAGCCCCGTAACAGAGGTTATTGAACCCTTCAATGTCCCAAGGTGGCGACCTCAACGGCAAGCATCGTTGGTGAGAACCTCGGTACATCGATTGTCGCTACACACATCCCAGCAATCCTGTCCAGGGCGTACCATAACACGGTGCGTCTGGTCCCCAAACGAATTCACCCACGAGACATGATACTGCTTGCTTGTGTCCGTATTGCTCACCCCTGACGCCTTATACCCGGCCTGACAGAAGCAGTATGCATTGCCAAAGTTCGGAGCCCCGTTGGTTGGATTGAATATCTCGCAGGTGGCTCGACCGCCGCATTGGATAGGAAGGCCAGGCGTGCAGGTTGGAGCGCACGTCGGGTTGGGCCCTGTTGGACATTCCCGTGCGCTACCGAGACCCTGGCGTGCAGCCGTGAGGAGAAACTCCATGTATCCAGCGCCAATCTCACGAGTGTTCAGGTGGAAGTTGTCCGTGGTTGGGTAGAACTCGCACGGCGCTTCCGGGAACCCGAATTCGATCGTGAAGCCGTAGATCAAGCTCTTGGCACTATTGACAATGTGCCGCGAGAAAGCGTAGTCGTCCGCCGAACCCGATGTTGGGTACAAGCTGTTGGACTCCTTGGCATCGTAATGCCGAGGAGGATTTGCAACTCCTGCCATCCCACTTGCGACATGGGTTGCAGCTATGATTGATGCGTCCCAGTCGGGGAATGGAATGTATTCTCTGTACTCCAAGCCGGGAGTGTCTGGGATCTTGCCTCTCTTTCCATTGTAGGCAGGATTGGTGAATGTTTGGCTTGGGTCAAACGCTTGGTTTTGGTCTGATCCCCAGGGATACAAGACGAGCCCTGAGAAGGAGTGTAGATCAACAAACCAGCGAAGCTTGGTGAATTTATCCATGGCCCATCTGACATTGCGAGTCTCTGGTTCAGAAAAGGGGGCTGTGCCATGATATGTCTCCGCGTTGACATTGGACGTCCCTGTCGTACTAGAAATGCCGGGATAAAACGCCGTGTTCACATCCCAGAGAAAGTCAAAGTTGCGGTTGAGGTCAACAGGGTTGGTGGGATTGCGATTCTTCCGCCAACAAGAATCTGTTGTTTGGTCATAGCGGACACCGTCGGGATTGACAAGAGGAAGGAAGACGATGCCAGTGGATAGGGCAGTCTTAACATCGCCATTGGTGTACTCCTTGCCCCCATATGTCAAGCCTGTACCCTCCCGCTGAGCCCAGAGAAGGTCTGAAATGAAGTATATGAGGCCGTCGGGCCCGCCACGCTCTCGAGCATGAATCCCAGCCTCTAGAAACACGCGGAAAGATGCATCGCAGCTAAGCCCATTGGGAATCTTCACTCCGAGCATCTGGCGACCCTCATGGGTGGCTTCGGGCATATTGAAGACTTCTAAGCCAAATTCATTGGCAAGGCCTTTGACGGCGGAGGTAATCTCATCAACGTTCATGACACTGCTGATCACAGTGCCACCTGGCTGAGATCCAAGACCTCTTGGAGCGATAGTTCCACCAGCAAATCGGTCAGTTGTACTCACGGGATGTCTGGGAACTCTGCCAAAAACATGGCTGCGATCATAAACGTAGGTTTCGCTACCCGTTTCGTTTTGGGTAAGGCAGCCCGACACGGAACGAATGAGAAAGAGCAATGACAGAATGAAGAGCGCCATTGCTAGTGAATGTTGGGATGATTGAGTGTGTTCTTTTTTCGTTGCCTTTGCACAAAGCTGTGTTGATCGGGCCGGTTTTACTTTCTAACCTTTGGAGCATAGGCTGGTATTTATAATTCAAAAAAAACACCCTTTTCTCACATATCAATAACTCTCATAGCAGAGGCAGTGCTGGATTCGCCTATGACTAGGCTTTCAGATCATACCCTCATATAGGAGCCATTCTTCGTTTATGTCGTTTATGCTTGTCGAACACGAGCGGGCGCCAGGAGACTACGAGAGCAGCCTGGAATGAATGTACTGGCCATTTAGACTGATTCAATCTTAGATCAAGAAGCTATATTTATTCTAGGGCTGAGCTCCGCCACGATATGTGCAGCTGACGCATCTACTGTCATGGACGTTGCCTCCTGATTGGACGCCTCCCCGCACTCCAACTCCCAACTCACAACACAACGCATCTTTCTTACCTCGTATTTGGAAAGCCACATTTTAGGCTGCTCTCATCAACTTTTGGAATAGGATTAGTTTGTTATCTTCACGTTAATCTGGTAAGTCCCCCGTTTCAGCTTTGTTTCTAAGTTTATACGAGTGCTAGTAGAAGCACACGTCACATGCAAAGATAGCATCGAAGTTTGGATATCAATGGATCGGTACATCATCAATTCATACTTTCAATAGCTAATCGAGAAGCAAGAGTCCAATAGGGCCACTAAAGCCGAGACCTTCTTCCCCTTCAAGTGCGGTCTTCAAAACCCCTCTCATTACTTGCCGCATCTGTAGATTATGCCCCTGCATTGAGCACAAAATCTCATTTCGTATCACGCATCTGTCCATTGTTGCCGCATTTGCAGACGATGCCCCTGCAAGCACAAAACCTTTTGCCTAATATTCATCCCGTACCACTCATCTGTCCGTTGCTTGTTTCTCTCCGGAAGAAAAGTACCAGCCCCATGGGCTTCAGGCTCCTCCAGCCGCCATAGCCGCCAGCAATTTCTCAATCTTCTTCTTCCTTGGATCACGAGTCATGGTGTGCCATTGTGCTTTGCACCAAGCCTCTACGTCCCGGTAGTCATCTCCATAGAGTAGTTCCAACACAGCTCCGATCAACCCGAGAACTTCTGTCCTGGACAGTCCGTCGGCGAGACCAAGCTGGAAGCGACGCGCAAGTTCATCCGATGATGAAAACTTGACTAAATCTTGGTTGCCGGTGTCTCGGATCATACTAGTCATTATATGGTCGTTGATGCCAAGCCCAGGTGTGCCGCCGTACAATTGTCCTATGCTTGCGGTGAATAGGCTGGGGCCAAAGGCCTCCTCCGCAGGGACGAATCGGGCAAGCTGCCAGTTGACGATTGCCTTGATGTTGTAGTTCTTATCGACGCGGATGTGGTCTCCCTTGTCATCCATATGCTTCAGCCAAAACTCTCTGTCTTCTCCGGATCGTGCCGCCAAAACTGGGGCAACCTTATCTCGGAGCAGGCTATAGAAGGCGAAGGCCTCCTTGGCATATTCGGGGTACAATTGGCCGTCGCCGATCAACTCGAGGTACCGCTCTGCTGTCGAAACGAAGTATTGAAGAGGCGTGCGATATGGTCCGTGTCTTCCGAGGTGAGTGAAGCCGTCACTAGCGATAGCGTAGTGAATGTTTTGATTCTCTTCGTCGGTCTCTGGGTGGCCCAGAGAAGAAGCAAATTTGCGAGGCTTCTGGCAGTGGATTACCGCAAGGATCTTCGCATACTGGCCGTAGACTCTGAGCTTCTGCTCGCGAGTTGCCCGAATCACATTAAACGGCTTGCCTGGCATGGCACCCATGAACATATAACTGATCCCCACGAGATTGGATGGGTCGCTCGCAAGGCCATATCCGTGAGCTTGGACAACAGGTACGCCAGTCTTCGAAAGCCATTTGAGAGTCGCGTACTCGTTTTGGATGAAGGACTCGATTAGGTCCGCCGGGAGGTGACTGAAGGTTGTGATGCGAGGAATGCGAACCACCCAGGCATCGTTGTCCGCGAAACGGACCCATGCATCAAAGTTGATGCCACTCATGGTGGCCTTGCGGCGGCCAAAGTTTCCAGTGAAAAACCCGCACGGTGTTCCACCGTGCAAAGCACTCGCCGCTTGACACAGCGCGGCCACATTGATCCGGGCCCGAAGTGCCTGAGCCTCCCTTCTGAAGCTCTGGTTCGGAGTGGCGTCGTCGGGCTGGGATCATGTTAGCTTTTTAAGGAGGGTGTGAGCCATAGGGGCAGAGCATACCTGGCTGGTGAGGGGGCAGTTGTGCTGCCCTGGGAGCAGGTGGACAGCACACATTGGCCTCTCGCAAGAGGCACAATTTCTGCCTCGGACGCTTGGTCTCGTGCATCCGAGGAAAGAGCAGTCGGCAAATCTTGGGATCATCTTGTAATCCTTGTGGTGGTGGTGGTGGTGGTGGTGGTGGTGATGTTGTTGTTGCTGCTGCTCTTGGGAGGGGGAGGGTTTGGAAATTTTATGGGTGGCAGAAGGGCTTGTAAGTACTCAGTCAAAGCCAAAATTACTAAGCCATCCGTGACGTATACTTATTGTCCCTTTGAGCTGTGTATTGTTGGCTGCATTACATTGAAAATTTTATGAGAACTAGCCCTATGCCAGCACAATTTGGGCGAGGGGTGGCCTCAGTCCGTCAATGCCTAAGCATCGGACCAATTTCTTACAATAAGAATATTATTGAATCACTCTATCATACAAAGAAGATTTTACTCTGAATTGGTTCGATATTCGTTGGTCAATTCGGGTACATGAGAGTGAAAGACTCGAAGTGGGTTGAGGGGGATGACTCGAAGTTTTCACCTCGCGGTATCAGGGGACTTTCCCCATTTAGACCTCACTGGAGGAATGATTTACAATTCATCCATGTTACGAGACTCTTTTGAATTATTATCTCCTCATCCATTTCTGGCAACCATGAGAAATATGTAGGTAGGTATTGTTTGGTTTAATAGATCGTGAGATGGTGAGGCTGTGGGTGGGTCCAACTGTCCGTTCTCGACGGCTGTAAGTTGTAACAGCTGTCAGCAACCGTGACGGCGGCATCTTGGCTTTGGCTCTGCAATAAAGTATTCAATTTACAGTATCTTGCCCCCAACAGAGCCGTCAGGCTCGTCGACAATGTCGTGTTTAGCTACGTTCCTCCCCAAGCCACTCTTTTCTCCCCTCTCCCCCTCAGTCCCCGCTGCTCCCTACAGCGCCACGCTACGAAACAATCCAATATTCCGTGCTAGATAAGGCATTGGAAATTTTGGTTCAAAGTTTCTCAATTTCGATATCAATCCTAGTTTCACTTCTGGCATTCTATTACCTAGTGACCACATAGCATCCTTGATCCTGACCGCTGCTCTATACTCAGCACCTGTGAATCGACAAACGTAGACCAAGTACAAAGGCAAAAACAGAGAACGAGTTCTCCCACCACCCAACGAATGACCTTGCCGCTATCTTTGGGGAATATTCTTGGATCTATAAAAAGAACAAACTATGCAGACGACTCGGTGCCCACTGACGTTAAATCATGGGATTTGCCCAGGAAATGGAGAACCTGGCAGAACATTGCAAGGGTAAGCACAGCCTAACCTACAACTTCGTACATGCGATGATGCAAGCGCGTAATGGTCTGAAGGTATGTACCCCTGAGGGCCAATTCGGCACCTTCACGTCCCCATTGCCGCCACCGTCCCTATCGCCGTCCCTTGCGGGTATTTCGAATGTTGCAATGCCTCATGTTGCTGGCGGGCTATGCAATAGTACTGCTTCAGGACGGCGAGGAAGTCTTGTGGCCAATATGGGAGGTCATTCTGAATATCTCCTAGGTTTTCCTACCATCTCGAAACTCGGAACAATCTTTAGCATAACATCCCCATGTGCCTATTTCTTGCTATCATTCCTCGATATCTACTGCCCCCCCCTAACTCTGGCATCCGTACCTTCCTCAACGACAGTTTTTGAACACCAACCTCGACTTGAAACTTGCTTATGTTTTTGGTTTTATTGCTTTTCAAAAGAGCTTCGGACGCAGGTTAGAATATGAGGCTGAATTCAGTGGGCTGTCGAGGGGGGACCGAATTATTCGTACATGACAGATGCTACCTCAAGATAGAGGTGCTCAAGTGAACTTCGAAAGGAGGACCATCGATCTTGACGTCCACCAGACCAGTCTTGGCAAAGTTTTGCAGCTGGGGTGTGTCAAAGCACTTTTGCTTGATGAAGCGCGCCAATCTCGACGAACGCTTTCTTCCAAAGTTTAGGCGGTTCAACACCCGGCTCTGCCCAATGTCTGTTGACTGTGATGACCTTAGTTCGCAGTCTGTTCATATCGCCAAGATCTCGGAATGCAATAGGCACCCGTGTTCGATCAGGAATCTCCTTCACGACCTAAGCATCGCGGCGAGCTCAACCCGACCTTCAGAGATGTCCTTATCGCTGCGTTTAGCTTGGCTTCGGATGATGCGGGTCAGCGCTTAGACGTCGAATCGGTAGAGTCGGAATTTCGATCCAACATCCAAGGCACCAAAGCGGCGATGATGATGACGGCGAAGGCGTGCCCGATACACATGATGGCACACGACTGTTTCGAGATGGTACTCCAGTTGTAGATGACGGTTGGTTCTTACTTGGTCATTGTCCATTATATTAGGGGCGTATCCCTCCCAGGCGACGAATGATACCAAGTCCAGAGACGAATCTGACCCCACGCGGACTAGGAGGCTCGTGCCTTCTATGATGGTCCTTCGTAGCTTGATTAAAAGCCCTTGTTGGGATATAGTGTACTCTTCGCCATGAGGAAGCCAAGTAGTCGGAATGTTGGTCCATCAAGTGTTCGTTGCTTTGCAACTGAAACCTCTACAAACGCCAATGAAACTCTCACGAACAGGATTCGGCCGTCAGATATCGCTCTCGCTACAAAGAGGTATGAAATAAAGATTAGCGGATGGATGTATGGCATAGAAGTTTGATTTGTTTTCACGCACCTGGAGATTACGACGAGGCCAAGTCATGTTGGTCGCAGGGGTTTCTCTCCCGTTCAGCTAGGCTGTTTCCCATCCTGCTGAGCCGCCTCCTCTATAGGCTCCCGCAACAGGGCGAATTGAATCCCCTGGAATCGCGTCTTCAAGAGCATCTCCGTTCAGCGGACCGTCTTCGTCCCCATTCTTCAGCTCCCCTCAGAGTTAGAAGATGTGCTTTCCTTAGAAGCAGTGCCATTCTAAACGGCCTTCGGGGCGTGTTTAGAGCTGGGTTCCCAATCCACTTGGAGTCGCCAAGTCACTGGCGGACAGCTTGTCGTCTCCTCCAGATCCTTCCTCGCGTAGCTGCAGCTCACTCCACCGATTACGCTCAACTTGCTTTCCGAGGCGAGGCATTAAGTTGCTTAGGATGGGTTGTCTCTTGGCCGAGTTCTTGTATTGATGTTCACACGAGTTAACGAAGTGTAAAGATGATACGAGGCGAGGAATAAATCTGTTGGCTTACCTCGCGTGTGGCAGTTTGAGTGGCTTGACTTGTAGGGTAAAATACCACTAATGAAAGGTGCTAGACCCAACATCTTAACACAAGGAATAATTGGCCTTCCACAGACGGCTAGTAGGACGCATTTTTGGGGCAATATGCAACTTGGCGCTTTGAAGATGATGTAGTGCATTGAGTTTTGACCATGGAGGTTGACAAGGAGGGTTTTGCGATTCGATGGGAGGTGGGGAAGAGCAAGGATGTTAAGAAAGTTATAGGGTAGGTCGAGGGTAGGCCCTGCTGTCTTGAAGTGAGAACAGGGGGGCTTACCGCCCCAACCGCTCGGCCATCTCACCGTCGGTCACATTATGCGTTGTTTTGCAGATTTCGAACCCCCCCTATTACGTACCCATCCACAGGACTACTTATGATTATGATGCGGCTCCCCCTCTCCCTATCATCCTTCCCAGCACAACTACCAACCCCACCGGCAGCTCTCTGTCTACCTTTTAGGAGCACTTACATCAAAAGCTTGCTGAATTTGATTTAACATCGTCGGCCCATGGACTACTGCATATTGGCGGGAGACACCGATGAAGGAGGGCTTGATATGGTGATGCCAGGGGCCGGGTTGATAATGGGAATGGCATTGCGGCCGCAGGTGGCTGTAGGCTGGTGGAGCTTCAGGCTGGGTTGGATGTAGGCGGGGGGAGGAACAAAGGAAGGGTAGGCCGGTTTCAGCGAGAAGCCGGGAGCAACGCTCTGGGGTTTTTGCGTGGGAGAGGATTGAGGAGAGTTGCTCGCCAGCGAAGATCAGGCAGCTTCCACCATTAGTACAAGTACGTTTTCTGTTTAATAAGAAATGGGATAGTACATGAAAGGCCATCACTTTGTACGAGTCGGTATACAAAGCCATAGCTGTGCTTCTCCGGCTCAAAGGTCGCGTCCTCGCGTATGGATGACCTAGCAGACAGCTGGTAACGCACTCTAAAGACATCTCCCGCCAACCTACATAGGAGGATCTACAAAACAGTCTAGATGAAATTTGGAAAGCTCTCAGGTGTAGTGCAGTTAATCTTTAACATAAATTAACTAGCTAATGAGGATAAAGAAACAAACAGGGCCGTACCATAGCCGAAGCTTTCATGATATATTATCCAATGCTACAGGCTCTCAAATGTGACCGTCCACTCAGGGCCAGAACAAATATTAGGGTATTCCTTGCGTTCGGAATTGAAGGCCATTCCCCCTCCCTCAACATCTCTTTCAATGGTCTTAATATCCATCTCTTGGTACTTCTCTAAAACAGCCTTCGCGGAGGGCGCGGCCCAACCAAAAGCATCACCATATACAATCAGGTCACGTCACAAGGGATGATTGTCTCCACCATTTAGTCGTAAAAGAGTTCCTCAAAAATTCCATTCACCCTTCTTCTCCCAGAAGCACACGAATAGAATATTGAACTCACTGAATCCAATTGCGGCCCAGTTGTCGAGTGAGGCACGACTGCCCAAAAATGCACCATCTTCTTCATCCCAACCCTCATTCGGAGCCCTGCTTATACCAGTATGTTCCGTGATATCTCCTGTAAACTCAATCTTGACAAGTATGGAGCGGCTTGATTTGCCGATTTCTACACCCGGGTTGTAGTGTCCCGATCGACCTCGGCAGCTTCGTCAAGAAGAGCAGATTGCGAACTTCGTTTTGCTTAAACTCGACGGGTACCGGCCTGATTTCATATGGCTCGTTTTCTTTATGCGGAGGGGCTACGGCGCGAGCCCGAACAAAGACATTTGGACCAATCTTGCGCATTGGAATCATAAGAAAGTCCCCCTTTGCCGTCCTCCTTGAGTTCCGGGTCCATGCAATTGAGCTTGAGCGCATACTGAGAACTCTTGGTGGTTTTGGTTTCATCAACTTCAAGAATGTACTCCGGCACGCCAAATTTCAGCCTTTGACTGGTAAGATGTATATCGCCATCATCCAAGAGGGCATCTATGACAAGGTCCATATTTTGACATTTTTCAAACTCGGTGACTGAGGTAGCAAAGAAGCCGCAATGATCAGCATTTATCTTGGCCGGAGTCCAAGTCAGCAGGCTTAAACCACAAGTGGATCCTCAGGATCTCTTCTTGGAGACGATAAAACGCTTTTGTGCTTTCTCCGTAAACCATAGGCATCGCGATATCGAATATCCCCTGCAAACAGTATGCTCTATCTTCAACCCGAGACGTCTCTCGTTTGGAAGCCCAGGACAACCGCTTCGCAACGCTTAATGAAGAGAGAGATGTCTCATGCGTTAGAATGGCTGCGTCGATTAAAGTGATTCGAGAGAGTGTATCACGTAGATCGCTCTTTGTGCCTCTCAAGACCCAGTTCTTGTCGAAAAACTTAATGGTCCTAGGCGCAATAAGTTCCTGTAGAGTCCAGCCGCGGGTAAACCATCTGCACCCTTCCAAGGGTCCATCGACAGCCCAATCACTCAAGTATGCATAGCAAACCTTTGCGTTCTCATACCATTTGGACATGGAATTGATACCTTGAGTGAGCTCAGCACTGCTCCTTTTATCGATACAACAGGTGTCAACTCAGATGTATTTGATACCATCTCCTCACGCTTCATCGCATGTCTTCCAAATCTTTGCGTACCCGGTCGTGGACCCATCCATTCTAGAGTGGCAATCTTGGTAATTGACCTCTTGGCCCCTCCCTTGATCCCAGGTGTGAGAAAGGATTGCATAATTATCCGGGGGCGCGTAGTTAAAATGCTCTTCAAAAATCGAGCTCACTCCTATATTGCTAGAGACTGAATCTCCTCGCGTCGATGAGCCTCATTATCTTCTAAAGGTGATGGTACAGTGAGACTACAGTCCAAGCATACGCTGTGAGGGGATGTTATGAGATTCTTGGAGGATTGATTTTCAAATGCGTTATTTATTTGATTAGAGTTGAAAAGGAACCTTTAAAAAAAGTAAGACATTGGCTTAAAGCCAATGAGCTTCGCCGTGGCCTGCAGGGAACTCCAGTTCAGCCTCGGTTCGCGCACTGCAGCCACCACCTCAGCCACCCCTGTGCTTGTTCATCCATGGGACAAAGAAGTAATGCAACGGTATGCTAACATTTTGATTTCTAGGCGAGAAGAGGCACTGTAGACCTTGAGACATTGCAAGACTAGCTACTGAACACTTTTTCTAGAACTCGAAGCTTGGCTCTTTTGAATAAACTTTTTATTCTGTAGCCTCCAGCTGAGGGAATCAGGAAACAGGAATAGAAAACTAGTCTCTCTCGTCCATCATTTCCATGCGGGGTCGTTTGTACTCGCTGATGCCAGGGGTATCGCAAATCTGCTGAGGAATAATCATCTGGGACAGCCCGACACCAACCAACTTGGTTGACTGCACCATGCATTTCTTCTGGGTCTTGATATCAAAGTTGAACTCGACGCCATGGTGAAGGTCTTCAAGCTTTTCCGCCATCTGAGCAAGGAAGAACTTTGTATCACAGCCAGAGTAAAGGCTGCCCACATGCAACTGGAGAAGGTAGTGCCGATACTCCATGTCTTCAATCTCTTCAGCTTGAAAGCAATCCATCTCAGGCATCACGTAAGAGGATGCACAGATGGCAAAGACAGGTCCTGTTGGGTAGCCATTTCTGTCCAGCTTGACGACGACGCTGTAGCCGGTCTGCAGCCATGAGTAAGCTGTGTAGTAGACTGGCTTGTCCTGGACAGATTTCTCTCGAACCTTCATCCAGTCCTCCCCTGTACAGTGCATTAGCGTTCCAACTTGGTAAAAGACATCCGGCTCGGTGTCAAGAAAATCGTCGCTGTTGGCGCTGCGCATGGAGGCAGCCGAGTCCTCGCCAGAGCTTCGATTCTCACGTCGGCGTTTCTGTGCACTTGACAGACCAGGTGGATCGACGGGTGGAGGAGATAGTTGAGAAGAAATGGTAGCAACATCGATCGCCACGATAGCGGGATCTAAGGCCATGGCGCGTTCCTCCTCACTGATCTCGTCGAATGGTTCATCAGGGTTGAATGCGCGGGGGTTCACTTGGATGGCGTATCCCGTCAAGGTACCACCGAAGCGGCTTTCACCCACAAGGAAATCAGGGATATTGTCTCTCTGGATTGCTGAGATGGTCTTTTGGAGATGCCGAGAATCCCGGCACGAAGTCTCTCTGATGCGAGTGAGGAGCGAGCTGCGTGAAACTGGAGCCCTTTCTCGCCTATGTTCTCGGCCGATCCACTTAGTACTGAAAGTATTCAAGGCTTCGGTAACGTCTTCGATGTCGGGGAACATGGCTTCCAAGTCACGGATCAAATCTCCTCCCCACATGTACGGTTCCAGGCCGCCATCCTCGTACCATTCGTGCAAACGTCGCTCGGCGGGTGTGAAGGTGGCGATGATTCCATCGTCGGTCAGGCTCGGGTCTAGGTGCCCTAAGGAGATGTGAGTCAATGTTCAGTAGGCAGTTGTTGATGCGTGCACGCATGCTGTGAGGAAGGGAAAGTGTCTTACCAGACATGTTGGCGAAGCGCCGATACTGGGGGATATAGAATTGCTTAGGTGAATAGTTCACTGGTTTTTGAAGTAGGAATGGAGAGATCGTTGGTATCTGCGCCTGCAAAAGGAGGAAGCAGAAATGTGAGAAGTTGGGGAAGGCGGAGAAAGTGAATGAAGGGCACAAAGTTTGGTTGTGGCGGCACAGTGTGGGTCTGTGTTGGAGCACTGTACGCGTTGAAGGAGAGGGCAGTTCCAAAGGTACTTGCCTCTCAAGTGACTGCCAGAAAAACAGAGACTGCAAAGTCACCGCAGCAGAATTATTGTGACAATTAATCACAAAATAATTCTTCGGATAATAATGCTTAATAATTACTCAATAATTTATGATTATGATTTTTGTTGTAATTATTATTATTAATTACTGTCCTTTTGCAGTCACTATTATTCTGACGCCCACTTGCCTCTTGCAAGCAACTCTAGAACAACTCGGTTTCCTAAGTACCTTTGCTCCGGAGACCACTGGAAACACACAGTGCACTGCAACGCACTGGATTTACCCAACCTTGGCGCAAAACAAAAAGCATAAACTCTGTTTACTTTCTACCTTACTTCCTTACCTACCCTTCATCCAACCTAAGCATCGAACAATCGTTGCTTAGGTGGTAGGCACTTTCACCTCTTTCCACACGATCGTCTCGTCGTTATTGTCTCTACCTCTCTCATCGCCACCACCTCATCACCGTCATCACCGTCACCGTCATCACCGTCACCGTCATCACCGTCACCGCCTCGATCGCCGTGCCGTGAATCGTCGAATCAGGATGGCTGTGCCCCCGCCCGACGAGTACAGAACCTCGTACGATTTACCACTGCTGGAAGAACCAACTCTGGCCATAAGGCCAAACCCAGCATCACTGCAATTCACGGAGTATAGCTTGGCTCTCTACTATCTGTCCACCAGCCTAAATCTTGACGCTACAACCTTCCAACAATCCGGATGTTAGAAAGATCTGGCTGAAATTGGAAATGAATTGCCGTACGGTCCACGAGAGTTCTTGGCAATTATCACTCGATATTATTGCATCGCCTTACAACAGCATGATATGATGCAGAAGAGACATGCCAAACGCCCAACTCTAAGACTCCAGCTTGACCCGACCATCACATGGAAGGATTTGGACAAGAAAATCACGGAACAACTCAAGGCGGTTCTCCGCATAATCAGATCACTTGCTAATGAGCTTGGAAAACACTACCACGAAGATATCATCCCTCAATTTATCTCCGACTTGTCACAGTTAGAGTCCGCTCCTCCCGTTGCGAATATCTCAGTCCGCGAGTGTAGAATGTGGTGTCAAGTGAACACCACCGAGTTTCGAAGACGCCTACAAACTGCAAATGGTAGCACCGAGTTGCGTGCTGCTATGGATGAGATTTCCGGTATGATTACCGGAGATGTTGTGACTGTACCAAGCCCATGCGCTTTCAGGATCGATGGAAAGGGAGTTGAGAGCATCGTCACGCCGTATGTCTACTTCGTCTGCACCGGAATGGATAAGGATGGGAACAAAGTCCACAACTTGGTGCATGTAGGTTGCACCAGGGAGAGGCACAACATGTGGAAAATGCTTCAGGGCCATCGCGATCAAGCCAGAGATGACTTGATTGGCCAAGAGGCCATTAACGCATGGGGAAACTTATACGGCCAGCTTGTCCAACTGGGTGTAGATCGTTCCGAAGGCACCTTCCAGTTAAGAGAAGACCTGATGCAAGGCAATTCTCAAGAATTGCCGGTTTGGGCTCGCGGGATGGTTACGAACAAGCTGCGTGCCTGCGCCAACCACGTCGGCCAATCCTTCCGGCAAGTTAACTGGAATCAGGCAGCCACCATGGGCTGTTGCTTCATCTGTAAAACAGCCATATCTTTCGAAGAAGTGGAGAACAAGGACTTTCACAAGGAGGCGAGATGTATCAGCCTGCAGATGAGAAGAGACTGCCCGCATTCCTGCGCTGAGGTGGCAACTAGCGGACCATTTCAGATCCGGGACACATTGAGCTTCAGGGTGTTTTTGTGATTAGCCAGAGGCTGCCAGGGCCAGTAATGGGATGTACAATGGGGACCTTCGGTGAGATATTCACAACTTTTAATTTGAAGAAAAGGAATCGAATTGGGAAGATCTTACGTCCATTTGAACAGTGTACTGGTGCTACCGTTGCCGCACGGCCCAAAATACGGCTGACAGACTTTGCCAATTGCTCCCAATATCGCTTTGTAAGATAAAAAGACTGGCATTACACACTCAACTCAATACATGAACAATGAATCAATGCGTAAACAATGGATCGATACATAAACAATGATTAAATACATAAACAATAAATCAATACATAAACAATGAAGTAATACATAAACAATGAAAACTAGAAGTTTCAGGAGGGATAAATCCCGCAGGAATGGTCGAATAGCTAAGAGGATAAATCCAATGATCCTAGTTGCCGTGCTTGTGACGAGTATCTCAAAGTATCTCAACAAACACGAACTAAGAAAGTTCAGGATCTCGGCCCATTCTTCATCACGGTGCTTTCCCAGTGGAACCCATCCAGTCCATGCGGAGCTCGACAGCCTCTTGCATCGCCTGGACTCCTTGCTGGAGGAGCTCAGTTAGTGGTATCTTGCCAGCCTTCTCGGCCAAGACTGCAGTGAAATGACTATTCATGGCGCCATTGATATTCACCTTGGCCACGCCCCTTTTGATACACATGCCGTATAGTTGCTCGTCAAAGCCAGCAGCACCGTGCAAGACGAGCTGGATTCCTCGTTTGCAAGCTGTCTCATGTACCCTCTCTAAACGCTCAAGGTCCAACTGGGGGCCCTGGGGACCATACTTGCCGTGGACGTTCCCGAATGCAGGTGCAAGCCAGTCAATTCCCAGCGATATGAATTCTTCCGCTTGCTCCGGGGTAGTCAGAACGCCCTCGAGATCTTCTGTGTCCGCTACACCGTCCTCGCCCCCGTTGATACGGCCTGGCTCGGCCTCGACAATGATGCCCTTGGAGTGGAGGAAAGAAGTGAGTTCCTTTGTCTTGGCCAGGTTCTCCTCCTTCTCATAATGGCTCATATCTACCATGATACCATCAAACCCGCCGAGCTCGGCGGCACGGCGAATGAGCTCGGGAGACTGTGCATGGTCCATGTGGACGGCGACGGGCACACTGGCTTTATCAGCAGCCTCTTTGGCGGCATGGATGAGCAGGCCATCGGCGAACTCGATCGCCCAAGGGAATAATTGGATAATGGCTGGGGATCGCTTTGCCTCGGCAGCCTTCACTGTCGCAAGGATGCCCTCCAGATTGTAGCAACACATGGCGGGTACGGCATAGCCACCTGCTGCAGCTGCGTTGACTATGTCCAACGCCCGGTTATGGCCTGTGAACGGCATGTTGTCTGATCAAATTGGTTGTGACGTTGCTTTGCGGCGGGGAGGTCGGAGATCACGAAGGGTGGCCATGGTCCATTTACATCCGTCGGATAATAACTTTTACTCTCTTTAGAAAACGGATAAGCACTCAACTGTCGGGATCCTCCGACAAGGTTGAAATATTGCCCAATGGGGCAAGACCAGAACTATCCACATACCACTTTGACTACAGGCTCCAACGACATCGCTTTCGCCTCCTGCAGAGTGGTCGAAATTGCAATCAAGACTTGCGAAGGTGGAATTGGTGAATATAGCGAAGTGGAATCTTTTGAAGAGCGACACATCTTTGAAGGCCTGGTCACCAAGAATAAGCAGGCCATGCCCCAAAATGAAGTAGACATTCCCAATAACAACTTCAAGCTCAGCACAGAATAGTAGTATTTTCCTTGGGATAGGTCAAAGGATTTCCCTTTTGGCATAAAATGCTAGCCTTTGACAATTGTTCATCTCTTCCGTCTTCTGTAGCCGTCAAAGGAATACACTGATGCTATCCGCTCTCGCAGGTTTAAAGAACCTCCAAACCACGTCATATGCGTGCTCCACGTCGGGATGGCCAGCTTCAAGATGAGGATCCGAGGAGAGGTTTCCAAGAGTGTTGATGGAAAGTGTGTTGAAGGATGGTGGGAGGAGAGTCGGTCGTGCCTGTCTTCACATCAAAACCCGTGGACCCACCTTTCGGCGTGATCGGCGTAAAACAACCGACCCGCAGCCTCTAAGTTTAACCTTCTTTCACATTGCCTCACGTTCACGACAAAGAATTTACACCGCCAATGCCGAAGCGCAAGATACCAGGTGCGACATGTAGCCTGAGTGCCCGTCATGCCGCATGCGAACCTTGCCGGCGATCGAAAATACCTGCACCCACGAAAGCCTATGTGCGGCCGATGCCGGACTCGCGGAGCAGAGGACGGCTGCAGATGTCGAAGTCGACCTTTCAAACGAGGTGGAATGCCGAGCGGACGGTAGTAGCTTGGGGAAGAGATTGGCACATCTAAAATCGCGCCATTACTGACCAGAAAGCACACTACGCCGGTAATCCACCGTTCAAGCCCAGTTGAGATCACAGATGCCTCGCAGGTGAAGGCGATTAGTCCGTTGTGGGAAAGGTTTTCCCTGAAGCGTTTGATTCATAGTGATGTGGCCGCCTACATAACTGTTAGACCCGGATTCTTCCCTGTCCTGATAAGTTCTTTGAGTTTGTACACGCTAGCAACGTCCATTCAGCTTTACTACCAGCTGGTCCACTGGACTGGGTGGAAACAGTAGAGATCAATTTGTCTCCGATTACACCGAAACATCATGCAGACAGCGGTCTCTTGTGCCCTTTCAGGCCGATATAACCGTTGGATCATTAGTGATCATTCTTTTGACTCATCCTCTCCTTAAATATACTGCCTGTTGGAATCTTTTTGGGTCGAAAATTGCTCTTCTCTAAACAATTGCAGCTTCTTTCCGTATACTTCAAGCTCAAAATGACCTCTCACAAGATTTCTTATAGTACGTTCTTCTATATCTGTACACCAGAATAATAATGCTAATTTGCAAAATTAGGGACTCTTGATGTTTTTACAAACAAACGGTCGGGATGCCCAAAATCCTGTAAACAGTCGTCGAAGAAAATTCTCTAATACGTCCCCTTCTTTTGCAGCTTCAAAGGAAATCAGCTGGCGGTCCTTGATGTCGAAAAAACAGTCCTGTCGCCTCCACAAATGCAAATGATTGCACACGAATTCAATTTTTCCGAAACCGTCTTTCTGCGCCGAAATGACTCTGGGGAGTTCGCTGTCAACATTTATACGCCGGTGACTGAAATTGACTTCGCCGGGCATCCCGTCATCGGAACCGGCCACGTTATATTTCAACGGCTCCTGCCTAGCCTCCAAGAGTATCAGCTGTCTTCCGAGATCCTTCTTTCCACTAATGCAGGACCCGTCACGCTTCATCATAATGCAGAAGAAGCAACAGTGTCTGCCCAAGTGCCTCACAATATTCATATCCATTCACGACCGACAACCAAGCAACAAGTCCTAACGACACAGCCATCCCTGCATGGACACTCCTCATCGTTGGAGGAAGGATATCCCGCTGTATCTATTGTCAAACGTGCCACTTATACACTGGTGGATTTGACAAGGGATCCAGATGCATTCGCGTGTTTGAGTGCTGGGCCCAGTCGGGTCACCGAGCTGGATGATGGCTGGTCTCCTTCATTCACTGGTGTAATGTACTATTTGACGTCAACACCTTACATCGAGGAAGGCTTCGTGATGCAAAGGCTTCGAGTTCGCATGATTGCAATCGATCTCGAGGATCCAGCCTGCGGCAGTGGCTGCAGCTCTCTCTGTGCTTACTTGGCCCTGCGGCAGGGTGGGCCAAGAGCGCAGTTCAAATTTCTCATTGAGCAAGGAAAGGAGATTGGGCGGGACAGTTACATTCATGTGGGAATTACGTTGAATCAGAACGGAGACGGTGTAGAGACCATTTCTCTCACCGGCCAGGCGGCAATGGTGATGGAGGGCACACTGTTGCTACCCGAGTAAAAGCTGAGCCCTGGATTGTGGATTGACGTGTGGGTTCACATATAATCAGTTTTCAGGCATGTTATTAGACTTACAGTAGTTATTACCCACTCGCTTCAAGTACACCATCATTGAACAAGCGGGCTATTTAGGTAAAATTGAAGATCAACAAGCCTTAAGCGTCGGATATGGCTGTTTAGTAGGTACCTCATGACAGTTAGAGTGGTTTCCAACACTGGCAGGAATGTCAGTCCGAGACGTTGTGATTGAGGTCATAGGCACACTGATGAGCATCACCTCTTCTGCGACATATATCCTGTTGATTTGATTCAAAGCTAGAACCTGATTATGGAGATATTTTAAATGGAATAAGAGCCGTTCAATGCAGGGTGGGTACCATCGAGTGAGGACAGGCGTAACATTGGGCATGTATTTCCCCCTTAAAGAAAGGGGTTGGCTAGAGCGAGCTAAATGTGCACCTTTAGAAGGTCCGAGATTCGGTCCCATTTCCCACACAGATTTCACAGATCCTAATGAGAGTTGGAGTATAAAGAAAACGCAGCAATGGAAGTGTCCAAACCTGACATCTCAACACAGCGACTACAAAGGCAAAAATGAGCTTCTCTAGCCCAGTCCCGCAGCCATGCAGAAGGAGAGCTCTGTGAGCGTTCCTACCAATATCTCACTTCCCATCAGGACGAGCCGCTCGGCAGAGGATCCTCACGAATAAACCCCAAGTGGAAAACTAACGCAAGATAGGATCCTTGGTAATTCTTCGTCGGCAGCCAACGCCTTCCAGCGCCGAAGTATTAATTCATGACCTATATGAAACTGACTGGCGCCCTCAGGAACCGACTGCCCCTTGTGCCAAACTTCACGCCCGCAAATCTCCCACTGGCCAGCCCACCTAGAAAAACAAGCATTCGCTCAGATGAAGATGGGCATAATTTTAACTGAACAGCGACCTTGACAGAATCTTTCCTTGGCTCGGTCAGCCATGCATGTACTGGATTATCCTCCCCTCATGACTTGTTGTTCTAGAACTGTCCTCACTCATGCGTTTTGTAGGAGGCTACGACGGATGTAGGCGGGGCGTGGCAATCAAGAAGATATTGCGGCCGCGGTCCAAAGTCGCAGTCCCTTCAAAGGGCTCCTCCGTGCCCATCGGATCTTTTCTTTCGGTGATGAACATCGTAATGCATCAGATAACGACGGATATTCACCGTTGATCGTTTCGGAACGTTTTCTTTGTTTTCCTCGTTTTCCTTGCCGGGGAGAGTGTCTGGATGAAAAGACTTCCAATTAGAAACAAGCTTCACGCGTGAGGCGAAACGAGAAGGAGATCCTGAGATTACCGAATTCATCTTGAACTTGGCTCTGTGTCTTCGTACGTTGGCTCCAGAGTACGAGCATGGCCGCCTGCGCAGCAAGAGCCACACCAACCATGGCGGCGATCATCCTGGTCTGTAAAGGCATTTTCCAAGTGCAGATTCGATTTTCAAAAGGCCTGAGGGATCTAGTGTGAAAAGCAGAATAAAATGGCTTTGAAGCTGGCGAGGTTGACGTGAGGGATGGATGAGGAATGCTCGACTGGGGAGATGGCTGCTGCTGGGTCCCTGCGACGAAAGTTGGCCGAGGCCTGCCAGCCAAAACTCTTGACACCTCCACCTACATATCGCTTAGGTACAATAGTAACCTTTCTCAAGACATTTATAGTGACCTATGCCCAACCCTCGGGGGATTTAGGCTCTCTAAAGGACACATTAGGTGCTCACAGGTACCTGTAACAGCAATATCGAGACCTGGTTAACTGCATTAGGTTCTCTAGCAGCGTCGCAACATTTCTACCAGGTGCCTTCTATTTCCAAAACACATCACGTGCATATCTACCATAAATCAACTACCTAGCTAGGTATACCTGATAACACTCCGCACACCTGTTCAAGGCCTTGATAGGGATTGGGCTTTTGAGCATCCAAAATCTCCAACTTCTGCGACAAGACAATCTTGTCAGTCCAGTCTTCCACTAATCTGAGTTCCTCAGGGAACCTGTGCAAGCGGCAAAGCGGCGTGCAGATTTGCGCTCTCACAGATATATTGTCTGAGAACTGCCACCCACTGAGTCACAGAATGGGGGCCTCAAGCGTTCATGTCGGCGGCGTACGTTGGCAGAGCTTTTCTACTAACCTTTGTTGGCAAGCCTAACTTCAAGGCTAGGTGTCCCACGCGTTATACGACCTTTACGTGAGAACGCCAACGCATGGCCTTGTATGCAACTGCTCTGGAGGCCACAGTTGAAGGCAGACCCCATACCAGTGACCAATCGTCCCCATGGAGCTGAATACTGCAGATGGCGTTGGCCAAGCCATGGAAATCATCACCGATGCCGCAGCGATTATCCCTGACATTGCTGAGAGATTTCGTGGGCAACACAAACACTCAAAATAGATCAATCCAACCGAAGTCGTTTGTTTATATCGCTTGGTGGCTATAAAATTTCGGTCGGACTGATGTTCACCCAGCAACGACGATATTTGCGGCTTAGGAATCTTTGCTTCAAGTCTTGCAGGCAATCCTCGTCGCAGTTATCGTCTTCATTACATACCGAACCGCTTGCTGATCGAGCCTAGACCACTCTCGGCACGCAAATATGTCTCAACAAAGATCTGGACGATGGAGGAAGCCCTGCCTTCGTACCTATTAGGGATGGGACGCTTTTACATGCTTTGGCATACAGTTTAAAGCTATCAAGGCAGAGCCTTAAGAGAAACGTCGACCTGCGGGAAGAAAGATTCCTGAAACTCGCATCGGACTCTTACAAGATTGGAGGATATAGAGACAGCTATGCTCGAAAAGGTTTATGTGAGCTCGCTATGGGAGTGGCCCGGTCTCTACACCACCATAACGGTCAATATTTGTTCAACTGGTCATCCTCACGATATCTCCCTAGCCCCTCACGAGTTCGATCTTAGAGCGACGCAAAGCTGGGTCTCAGTCGAGTCTAATCACATCAAAACATTGACAAACCTTTTGCTGCTCTTAATGCGCCACCGTGCTTTTGCTTCATCTATACAGGTGACGTATGCAAAATTCCGGCCTCAGCAGCCAAATGGTAGCCCCTTAATCCACCCCGACTATCCGATACTTAGGTAGGGTTTGGGAGACGAAACGCACACTGACGAAAGAGAAGGGAGCTTGTGTGCACAGCATCATCATAAGACCATTCAAGAAAGTTTACTTGTATTGCAATCTTGGTCTAACAAAAGGCGCAATGCTCTCACAAATATTGCCTGAGCCGAATACGGCAGTCCCCGACGTACATGAGACGGTTAATTCTCCATCTAGTGAGAAGCATGCTTCCCCCGACAAGGGATACAGGTTGAGGACGAAATCCAGCTGCATTAAGACATTATGCGCCGGCCATAATCTCCTTGAACCTCCAACTAGAAAGATTAACCCTTGTAGACCGGATGATACCGGACATCTTCCACTAGAATCAAACCCATAAGTATTTCGAGGGAAAGCGACGGATTCTATATTGAGGAGTTGTTTATGTTTCGGGGCCAGAAGGGCCTATCCAACGATAGGACAAGGTAGACTGCCTGGTGATGCTGTCATAGATTCTACGTAGACGTCATATTTACCTGGATGGGAGTAGTAGCAGCGTTACACTTCCTACAGAAACAAACGAGTGGCCCATACTGAGTCGTGCAGGTGGCAAAGCTCATCACGGGTGCATTCAAGTCTGTCAAATTCTACGTGCTTTCTCGGGGGCCATGGGTACCTACTCGCCATTTGCTCTGAATATACCATTCACAAGGACGTGTACTACTGTGCCAAAGTTCTTCGCGTGTAAGAGATTGCGCACTCAAGCAGGTACCTGCCTTTAAATGTGCTGTATGACAGTTATGGAAGGAGCGGCCATGCAGCCGAAGTTGGTGGGCTTCTCAACGAATCGGCTACAGTGGAACTGGCTGTACTACTAGGGCAGGTACCTGGGTCCCTTCCCCAGACTCCTCCTTCCCCCTCTTACTAATATCTTCTCCTTTCCTCTCTTCTCTTCTTCTCACTCCTTCTCCCCTTTCTCCCCACACTTTTCTCTCTTCTATACGCACCCAATACAAAAACAAAAACGCATTTCAGTGCAAAACAAAACGTAAGTGTCATCGTTCTTACAGTCATGTCCCTCCCACTATCGAGACTTGACCCTCCTTTCTTCTCTGAAACTCCTCTATGCCTAGGGGGGAGCCCAGCTCTTCCCAAGCCTACTCGTGTTTTTTTCCTCGCCGACACATCACTCTGATCTTTGAAGTTTTGGCTTCTCTTGAAGTCAAGACGATATGATTCCATCATCCCCTACAAATTTATATCTCGCGCGACCGAAGATCTTTGACTGGCTGAAGCTAACGCACATGCAGCGAGGCGGCACTGGGGCAAATTTCCAGGCTCTCAACGGTCCTCACCATTGCCCCGGTGCCGCCTCAACATCAAAACTCATGCTACGACTAGCTGGGCGAATTCTAGCTCCGTCCGAATCTCCTCCCGAACGGTTTCTTCCCGGCAAGGAGCTAGAATTCGCCCAGCTCCAGAAGGATGAAAACGGCGGTGTCCTCCGTGAACCAACTGATGCGCACTGTCCCGAACCGTTGTACGAACATCATGGCTTCGAGACAGTGCGGATCAGCTGGTTCACGGAGGTCATCGCCACACACCACAGGCCGTGTCTGGACGGTGCGAGGGTGGCAATTTGCATCGACACAACTATACATGTAAGTGAGAAAGCTATGCAGTTCATGCGGCAACCACTAACAACAAAAGTATGGGAGGATACCAGATCACCAAGAAATCAACAACTTGATTCTATTCACAGCATTATGGAAGAGTTCGAGTATAAAGTTAAACAACAATAAAAGATGCCAGACCCGACATATCAACACAATGGATATATCCAGCATTACACCATATCAAACTTCAACCTCTTTTTCGGCCATGAGGCTTGCACCAGCCTGGCGATTCGCTTCTCATCTTTTATCGCAATGCATCAGGTAAGCTTAGTCCCTGACACCACATCTAGAAAATTTGGAGCTAATCAAGTCATTTCAGAGCAAGGGATGGGATAGAAAGGAATTCTATCTACAACAAAAGAAGCTACAAGTTGTTCCTGGTGAGAGACCTATTCCCAATGCCTTCCATTCAATTATTTGTGCAGCTAACTGAGGTTTCCTCAAGGTGAAAAGCCTCGAGTGTGACGATGACCTCGACCGACATTACCTTCTGGGTGATCTACCAACTTAGGAAGCAAATGGGTCCACCTCTTCCTTGCGGGTCCTTTCAATATCCTCGATCCACATTATTCTATCAACCGAAGGTTAATCTCAGGGCTCGTTCACACGAGGGGTCGCTCCAGTCAGATGAGAAAACTCTCGGACTGTCACACCTAAGAGTCTAGGCAGGTGTGCCTTATAAAATGAACCACAAAAAAATTGCTGTCACCAGCGTTGCGCGTGCAGTGACAGGTCACCAGACCGCAACTCTATTCAGCACCAGGTGCCGCATTCTCATGACCAACTGCGGACCAGCTGTGGACCGGTAACATGGCAGGGAAGACGGCTGGAACTCTAAATTATCGATCAATGTGGATGTTCAGGCACTGAACTGGCAGGGTTGCATAAGAGGGGACACAACAGTGCATGCGCACATAGTCTGTGCAAAGAAAGGGGAGATAGAGAGCAAGGCAAATGCGAACACGAGAAATTTTGGTCCCGGGAAATCCAGCAGGCAAGCACACAACCTTGGAGAGTCAAAACAAAAAAAGACGTATTCGTTGATTTGAATAGAATCATAATTCTTCACCTCAAGTGGATTTATGTGCCGAGAGAAGAGATAAGAAATGCAGTCTAGCGGGATGATGAGATTCCTCCCAATGTTCCAGCACTCAACTTGACTAAAACAAGCTTAAGTTATGACCAGGCGTTCCACGAGATGTACGACCTTTACGCGAGGAGGCTATCGCAGGTTTATGTATGCAACTGTTCAGAGACAACAGTTGAAGGTACACCGCATACCAGCGACCAGCCGTTTCTATGAAGCTCTCTCCTAGGTAGGAAGCGAGAGAATCCATCGTGCAGTTTTAAGCGTGACAAGTAAAAATAAATGTGGGGCGCCCCGTATCCGTATTGGAGCTGCTCGGCCAGGGTCTGTTGATCTGCTGGCTGCATGAAGGGTCTTTCAGGGAGTCCAGGCGCTGCCAAGCTCCACAATTAGGGGCGTCCCCACCAAACCACTTTCCCGTTGAGGCCTGGGTACGCGGGCTTAGTGGGCAGAAGGCGCCTGGATTAGTCAGTGCGGCCACTGTCGGTGCGCTAGAGCCACAGGCACAGCGCACCTGGCCAATTTCCCGTGGCCTAGTGACCGGGCTAACAAGTACTCATTTGTCTCCCATCACATCCGAACAAGAGGAAACAAAAAGAAAGAAAAGGATGGGTTTTCCACGCCTGCCCGGCCAGCGCCAGTCTCCCTCCAATGTCCGCATCAAGACCAAGGCCAGCCGCGACAGAATGGTGGACAAGGAGAAGCGAGCCGCCGCCACGCGACAGAGCCGGGAGGTGACGGACCATCTCTTCGCCCCGAACCAGCACACAGAGACGGAGACGGAGAACGAGGACGAGCGACAGCCACAGCAGCAGCCGGGCGCCCTTCTAGAAGACGGCACGCGAGCAAATCCCAGTCCCAGCAAGAATTGGCTGCCGCCCAGCAATGGCTTCACCTGGAACCAGATCTTCTACATCTTCATACTGGACGGGCTGGGAGGCATGATCCTCTCTGGCGGCATCAACTTCGCCATAGCCTACGGTGCGTTTGTTTTCTTCCCCCTCCCCCTTCTGCTCTTTTACCGTCGCACCGGTGAACTCTCAAATGGGCCGACGGGGGTGGATTGATCGTCGACCCCTGCTCAACGCTTGCACCTGGACTAATACTGACCGCCTTTGCTCCAGTCATGTACACCGTTCCCGACCTTACTGGCAAGCCAATCCGCCTCTTCGAGCTGCCAAACACCTTGGCGGGCGACGCAGCCGTCACCATTATCGTCCAGTGCCTCATCACCTGGTTCATCGAGTCCGCCCTCGTCGCCACGGACCTGGCCAAGCAGGGCGTCCAGCCCCTGTACCTCTGCGAGGCCCCCACCTCGCCCCTGCTCCGTTGGCTGTTCCTCCTGGACCAGCCGCAGCCGCCCAAGTTCTTCCCCAACCTGCTCCAGCAGGCCCTGAGAGGGTTCATGATGGCGTTCCCCAGCTTCATCCTCTTCTGGCCCCTCTCCGTGGGCGTGCTGACCGAGCTGGGCGTCCCCAGCGGCGGCGACTACGTCTACGAGAAGAAGTGGGTGCCGCAGTTCTTCAAGCTGCTTCTGGGCGGGCTGCTCGGGCTAGTGTCGACGCCTGTCATGGTCATGTTCTGGCTGGTCAAGGCCGGGTGGGAGAGCAACTTTGTCCACGGGCGTCCCTGGGTCTGATTTTAGAGGGGGGAAAGGAGTTTAGGGTTGTTTTCATGCGCCGCATTGCTTTCGATTTATCTCTGGGTCATCCTGATCATGACACAATTGGCATTTTGCAAGCGCAGCATTGTTAGGCGAGGCTGAAAGTTATTGAGCGGAAATTGGTTACCAGCATTCAGGGGGTCTGCGGGGTACCTCAAACGGCGAAACAGGATCATCTCATTTCTCAGCGATGTAAACAGTGAATATTAGAATAAACATCATTGGCATAGCGAGCATTGCGGTAGAAGATAGATCATATAATTCATTCATCACTGTATCGCAGGCTACAATCTTCACTTAGGCAGAATAACACGGGAACATACAATGCCATAATAGAGTGGCTACTGAAGGTAAGCTGATTCCCACGGGCCATCGCTTGTAGTACACGCTCATCCGTTGTTGACAGAACCCACCGTCAAGCTCTAGCGGCCTCTCCATACTGAATCAGCTCCGAGGTACAAATTTCTTTTGATATTCCAGGGGATGATTAACAAACCAAACACTACAATCTCACAGTGTTTCCACCTATGATCTAGATTCACGACAGCTCCGATCACCAGTAGGAATAATCAAGCTGAAAAGACCAAACTACTACAGAAGCCTAGGTGCTTTATTCCTATTTTTTCTAGGTAACTACCAGAGCTGAAATACTTATGGAAGACACGGGCTTTTAATGTACATGTCACTTCAAGCGGGCGTTATATGTCTGCAGTACAGAACCTGGACAATTAGTTTTATGATTTACTATAACAAGTGATATTACAAGCGGTAATTTACTGCTTCATATTTAAGCCCGGTCCAGTCGGGAAATCTACCAAGCTACCCTCGGTGCTTGATTGCGTCCCAGTTGATCTCCATTTCATTCGTTTAGATACGGATAATTAAGAATTATCCTTTTGCCCTGGGAAAGATCTTGGTATTCTTGCTTTAGAATTAAAGCTTAAGCCTTATTCTTTAGGAGCAGGAGGGATAGAGGAGAATGAGAAGCTGATCTAAGCTGGAATTTGTCATTAATAAATTAGTATAAGTTTTTAAGACAAGGGAAATCTCTTATAGTAGAACAAAGAACGAGAGGATAGAAAAAATAACTTACAAGCAGATATCTCCGAGGAAACAAAGTAAAGGTAGAGAGTCGAGTATCCATTTACCGCTCATTAGGAGCATATAGACTAATAAGAGTAGAAGTAGAAGTATGAGAATGCCGAAGGGTTTAAAGGCGGCGATAGCCTTGAAACCCTCGACGATCCAGCAGCCACGTCCAAGCCCCGGAATGAAGTCGCGACACGATTGGGACATGCTTCTTGATGACTAGTTGACGAACATTAGTATATTGTACGTAAGACAAGCGGCGGGGGACGACTAACCAGGAGGCGAATGGATTGTACGATGCAAGTAAACGGATGTGAAATCCAAGTGGAGAGGGAAAGGATATCGAGAGAGAGGGGAAAATAAAAGGAAGCACGGGTATGGCTGAGAGCGTCGAGGAAAGGGACGAGTGGCGCGTTAACCCTGTCCGCCTGGCAGAATTTTCACCTCAACGCACCATTCAAAAACAGCCGCTGGCAACTGCCCTAACTGCTGCCACTGTAGACTTGTTATCCAATTGATCATGTCCACACACAAGTAACCAAGAGAGACGTAATAAGCAATGGGGACGAACTCCCAATCCTATCGTCTCGATATAAGACGCGAGCTTGGCTTCTTCATAAGCCTCTATCCACCTTGTCGTCTTCTCAAAGTTAATTGGCATTGTTTAAACGGATCAGCACCTTGGCAAAGATTATGAATGGTACATCATCAGGTGACGTCTCAGTACCAACTCACCACTAGATCACTTTACGAACTAGCAGAAATAGTCTACAATTCTCGATCCCACTACATTCTTCGATATTGTGCCATATGCTTTTGAATCCAAGCAACATCCCGAAGAAACAAATGCATGCTTATTCCAGCGTCTGGAGTACGTCTGCTTTCTATGGTCACGTTACACATTCCCATTCGTGTGTGTAGAGGGGAATGTACACCAAGAGGTCCTAGCCTCCAAAGACGAAGCCGAAATTGAGATGCCGCTTCTTAACTTGCTGAAGCGTACATCTTAAGCAGGAGAATGACCTTGGCCTGGTAGTTTGATTCACTAAACCACCATCTCATATCATTTTGTAAATGATCTCTGTTCCAGTCGTCATGCTGGAATGGGCCTCCTCTTGAGCCACCTTCTCCGGCTTCAGAGCGGCTCTACTTTTTGGAAAAAGCCTGACCCTAGAGTGGTATACCAATACTTCAACCATATGGCAATGATTTGTTCATATGTTAGAGAGTTGGAATCGTGACAATGAGTAAGCCACGATCTGGATAGCACCTCGTTATTGGCAATTCAAGTTCAATGCTTTCAAGTCAATGACACCTCCTTCTCACGGGGCGATGGGGAAGAATTCAAAGAGTCCCAGCATTGAAAGATTCAGATTCACAGTACTCGAAGTTCAGGAAATAACTGTACCAACCGCCCATTCTCCACCATCCCGGTTGACCGTATTCCCACTTCCTCCCCCACTACATTTCCATCCCCTTTCCGTCTCCACCAAAGTCCGACCCCGGTTTGGGGTCGAACTTTCCCCACGATTGGAATCTTTGGCTGGCCGCAGTAGACGACCAGCCTTGCCCGGATATTGAACAGTAGGGCTGTCGGAAGCAGGAAGAGAAATATCCCTTCCGTACATGCCAACAGTCCCCTGTCCTCACCAGGCAAAGGCCTACTCAACCCCTTCGAACAAACCAAAGGTTGTCATGAGAAGGAAGTAAAACTGCATTTATCGTAGTCTGATTAGCTCAAGATTCCAAAACTTAAGATTCTAGGCACATAAAAAAAATGAAGGGTATACTTGGAGATACTTACATATTCAGCGAGGAGCATCCCCATCTTGGAGAAGATGGCAAAAAAGGCCACTTCGTAGAGGCCAGGGGGGTCACGGCGAATTTGAGCACCGGTGATCAGTTCGGTGAGCGTGAAGCCCACGAGCACAAAGAGGAAGAAGAAGGCCGAGCAGACGATGAAGGCGAGGGTCTTGATGAGGCAGCTAAGACCGGGATTTCTGCTGAACTCCGTGAGAACGCTACGGAACGCATTGGATCGACTTTCAGGAGCCTAGTCAGAAAAGGTTAGCTATCTTCGAGTGAAGGATGTGAATGAGTCGAAATGGAAAGAAACTTACGCGTCGTCTGAGGGACTCGAAAAAGCCAAGGGCGTTGTAGACCATCCAGTAGTGGACGAGGTAGGCATGACGGGCTCCGATCAGCTGGGGGACTCCTATTCCTGGCGTGTATACACCGAGGCAGAGAAGGTGAACACCGGCGGCAAGCTTGTAGGCATTGGCAGTGAGTTCAGTCGTGGGTTGGAAGACAACAAAGTACAGGGAGGCCATTCCGGAGATTTGCGAGAGTCTCATGAAAGCCATGGGCTTGAAGTCGAGAACTGAAGACAGGAAGTAATAGATGACCGCCAGTAGCACGGAGATCATCCAGTGGTTTTTGTGAATCTCTGGAGAAAGCATCGTCTCGACTTCAAATACAATGATGAAGTTAAGCGGCTGATTCGGAGGCTTAGAACCCTGAAATCTCGATGGGAGGAGACGAAATGGTTTGGCAATCCACTTGACGATGAGATAAGTAATTCTCTACTGTCAGTCAAAGTAAATGGAAAGATCTTGATGTGTGTAGAAGAAAAGAAGTAGGCAAGAAGAAATCCGGGTTGCTTGAGATGAGAGGAATGAGGTGTATGCAAATGTCTTCGAGAGTAATTCAACTTCAGGTAGGTTAGAAGTTTTTGAAAGAATGAAGGACAATGGAAGAAGAGAGTGAGACGAAGTGAGGAGAGATGTGGGTCCGGGGAGTGAGGAATATCAACAAGTGACAGCCTCGTTCGACGCGGGCACGTCACGTCGCGGTTGGCTTAGGGCACAACGGCAGAATTCTCACCGTCGACGAGCCCGCTCTCAGCAGATTGTCATTGGTGGCTAGCCAGACGTCGTCCCCTACAACCACAGCCTGTCTGCCTACATACCTACCTACCTATCTACCTTCATTGTGGCCGTACTCGCGTGCCCCTTTTTCAGCCACATATCTACCAACATCGTGCTGAGCCAACATTCATTGCACTCCTCACTAATACCCCCCTCTCTCCTTATCACAACCAAGTATCGAAGTTAGATATGCTCCAGTATATTTCATATTGTCCATCAACTGAATCCTTCTAGGAAGGCTATACGTAGTCTGATTGGAAGCAAGACAGGCAAACTACCGGATGCTCCATTCCATGCGGTACCGATTCTCCAGAGCCAAAACATGATTTGACCCAAGAAAAGAATACATCCAAAGCTCCTTTTGAATTGTTCAGCCACGCCGTATTGTTTGTTGTTGTACTCGGCATATCAATGCTGTCAGGAGGAAGTGTATGACAGCCAGGCTACGACAGGTCTAGCTTTGGACTCGGATACATTTCCATCATTTGTATTCAGAACTCTGGCTCAAGTACCCAGAATGTTAAATGCAAACACCAACGGGTTCCGCGGTGAGGGCAAACTGACGACCAAGGTTCGCCGGTAGTGGACACTATCAGCGTTCTCTGCCGATTTGTGCCCATCCTCAACATGTGCAACACTTTTTACCAACTTAAAATCAAGTTGGTTCAGCAAGGCTCTGGTATGCTACACCATTCGGGTTTGTGGTCTTCCGAGGTGCTGTCCTAATCAATGGAGTCAAGGAGGCCACTCTTTCAGACAGCGCCCCAGCCACATGCGAGCGAAAAGCACCACTAGCCCCTCATTTGCGGCTGCTATAGCTTCGATAAGTATCGCATAAAGAAAACCAGTATTCATCGACAGGCAGATATAAATCTTCCGTGACCGCGCTCTGTCTAAGGCGCGGGCTTGGAACGGTGGATCCGGCGGATCGGTTGCTGTCTTTCCACCATCTAGTCTCTGGCAGGCTCGGTGCATGCCGCACAGCTGCAGATACTTATCAACTTGCAACATTGACGGGTCATTTCGCTCCCCAAATAAGGCATGGTTGAATTATTGTTAAATGGAGTAGGAGAGTGGCAGTATTCGATCGATCATGTCCTCCTGGCCGTATCCTATCACTCTGAAGTATCTCGTGTAATCTGCAAGTCTTCGCTGACAGTGATGTATTATTCGCTCATGGTATAAACACGCAACAGAAAATTCGTCCTCGTTGATATATCGAAGTCGAAAAAGAGACTTTTGATTTGCCAGGCAAGGTTTGATGATAGAAGGTCCTTTGGGAGGCAATCACCAGCAATCAATAGCTATCCAGCGGGAGATAGGTTCAGGGTGTCATAAAATAAAGTAATGACACAAAATATAGCATGACACCACACAATCAACGTTGCATTGCGACAGAGACTTATATGATTCTATCTCTAATACCAGGCCGAAAGAGGCCCTAAGAAGCTTGTCATCTACTTTAAATCATGCGGCTTTGCCTTATGGTACGGCGCGACCATCAATCTTTCCAAGTTGGCCAACTTGGTCATCTATTGAGAGCCTGTAGATTTTCCTAGACAGTAGGGTCCTTGCAGGGGAAGGTAGATGAGTGAGGACAAGCTGCCAGTTATCTTCGGATTCCGACAATTCTCGCCTTTTACATGCACTTTGAAATCGTGATCTTTGGCTCGTCTTTCAGCGGCCAATTTGGCCCGTATGAAGACCAGGATGATCTCATTCAATTGATCAAATGAAGGAGGTTCCAATCAAACACTGAACACACGACATTCAATTGTAGTTGTTGGTTTTGACTACGCAGCTTGGTTGTATATCCCCTTGTTGGTTCTTGATAAACGTCGACGAAAGAACGAGACCAACAGGAGTCGTCTCCGGTATCCGCTAAGCCTCTTACGGTGTAGTGGGGCATTTGCGCCAACCAACAGGCAAACCCTATTCGCCAACACTGTAGGTCAGTTCTTGGCCCAATCATAGCCAGCGACGGTCTGACGGCAGATCTCTCCTGAATGATTGATAGTTGCATCCGAACAGGATAATATGGCGCGGCGAATTCAGGCTGCGAGCCCGACAATCTCACTGTTGACGCCCCCCTTAGACCCTTTGGGTCAAATGGATCGAACGACATGGCTTCTTCCTGCCGCCACCGTGCATAAGCGCTGACCTGCCACAGCCCAGAGTGACGGAAACACGATCTCTTCAAACCTGTTGGCAACGTCACCACGGCTGCTCGTCGTTCATCCCCAAGCGAGGCAAATTGTTAAGCGTTGCAATACCGAGTGCGTGAGACTCAGGCGGTACTTAGCTGGCAAAATTTCTCTACGGCACACGGGTTTGGGGGTAACGGTAGCCTTGAGACCGTCTTCCTCACACACCATGTCTTCCAGCGCAGCACCACCATGCCATTCTTAAACGCCAGGTCGCCGATTCGTATCCAAAACCACTCTGCGTCACAAAAGGGCCAACTCGGAACCCGCAGAATCGTGCTGGTCGTCGGGGTATACAAAGGCGACGGGGAGACAAAGATCAAGGCAGGGGCATCAGGGCGCAGGAGGATGATCATCAAGCATGATTGTTGTCTTCCTATCACCATTTCGCAGACCGGCGGTATGTGAGCCCAAGCTGGTTTATCCCACGTCGAAATCCTGAAAAAGAATCTCTTCATGGCTGCCAGATTTAAGCACTGGGCCGGGTTCTGTTTCTTCCACGCCACATCGTTCAATACCCCGCCTCCTCCTTCTACGAAGAGATCCAAAGCTTGGTTATCTTCTCCCGGCAACGGCCAAGTTTCCATCTGGCAGGGGTATCTGACGACTTGAAACTCTTATCTCGAATCTCGAAGTGGTTCCATTTCGTGTCCATTGTCGGAGAATGCACTGTGAGAATATTGACGTGGAACGGCAGAGAGTTGGAGTGTAAAGTTAAAAACAACAATAGAAGATGCCGGGCCGACATCTTAACAGAATGGTTAGCGTGCAACAACTGCGCTCGAGCTGGTGCAGGTAAGCTTGGCCCTCACTCAAACCGTCCATGGCCGGCGATCTTATGATTGACCAACCAACTATTTGGTTGACGGAGCCGAGACTACTGTTAGCGATTTAAAAGCTGTTCTCCATACGTACGTGGGTAGGAAACTCACAAGTGCGACTTCGATGGATGTATGTTCGCATGAAGGTGCAATCTTGGTGTATATGCCACAGCTAATATTAACACGGGATATAAAGTTCGAGTATAAAGTTAAACAGTAGAAGATTCCAGACCCAACATCTCAACACAATACATACGACACACACAACTTGTATTCACAGCAGCCATAGCGTTGCTTCTGCGGCGTCTGCCGGAGGTTAGTTCTTCCAGTTATTACCTAGAGAGTCGATTGGCCATTGACAATACTTTGGCAATGGACAGCCCTGTTACGAACCAGACTACAGAAGGGGAACCCACTGGAAGGTCTTTCTGAAGGCTAATGTCTTAGATGAACAGCCCTCCCCTACAGTCATAATCTGGACAGGGCCTCGAAGAGGCTAGTAGCCTAATATTGAGAGAGCAACTAAGGTCAGCCTGCAACGAAGGGGTAGACTCATCAATGAGTTGTCGATGTCGAACGCCATCCTGTCAATACAGCCTTGCCGAACAATCTACGGGCCTACAAGACGCATGAACCACTACCCTCGAAAGCGGGAACACCAAAACCCCCGATAACCGAATCTTGGTCATGTTGAGCCTCGTTCACTACAATGGTCGCAACACGTAATCACAGAATTGACTCTAAAACAGGAGGCCGGTACTAGGTGCTGATTGGGTGAAGCACCGATCCGGATCTGCAACTCTATTTTGGTCCCAGGACGATGGTGGCGCACCAGACTTCTCTCATCGACTGGCAATGGAAACCTTATAGAAGGATCAATCAGGACGCTAGACTTGAACGGCCGAGCGTTTGTGCATTTCCGGTACAGGCAAAGTTGCGGGACCAGACCTGCCACAGCGGCGGAATCATCTGCACCCTCATCTATCCCAACGACGTCTATATCATCACCATCGCCTGCACTCGAACAATTGCGATATGCACGCCCGATAAGGCGACGACATTTTTCGGTCTCCACAAGCCTCTCCATCACCATTCCGCAAGTCCCACCAATGAGCCAGCTTAATCTGGCTTGATGAGCCTCGCCCGTTCCAGCGAGAAAGTCTAAATGCTGTCTATCTCAGCATTTCAAGTTCCAGTCGTCTTCAGCGGCGCCGTGCTCCCCCAACCAGAGCTTGCCCAGTCTGGCGCCTTTTATTCATCGGGCGGCCGATCTCTGCCACTGGTCGCCGCCTTGAGGCTAATGGCGCTGCCTAGACAGACCATAGAAGCCAAAAATGTTTAAACGCGTTCCTCATGGTTATCGCTTGCACGAGAAGGACTGGCTCCATACTAAAGAGTCCCAGCTCCATATCTGAATGCCAGTGCCTTCTTCTCTTCTTCTCGAATTCATCCCCCGCGTCTGCCCATCCTCTACGCATTGTACTCCCTGCTTGGATGTTTGATGGCCGCACGCGCACGCGAGAAACCTTGACACCATGGCCGACGACGGCAGCAAGAGGCCCGGCCTCATCGTTACCTTCTGGATACTCGCCGTGGTCAGCGGCATGATGATGGGTCTAAGGCTGTATTGCAAGGTGTGGCGGAGCCGAGGTCTTTGGTGGGACGACTACACGATGCTGCTATCATGGGTATGTTGAAAACGTCCCGTGAGTCTGGATGTCTGTGACGTGGGCGGTTAATTGATGTCTTGTAACCCCGACAGATGGCCCTGGTGGCAAGCGTCTGCTTCGGCACAATCATGGTCCTGCGAGGATTCGGAGACCACTTCTGGGCGATTGGGCCGGACGACATCGTCGTCGTCAACTTCATGACATTGCTGGTAACTATTTTCTCGGTCGTGGCCACTTCTGTGAGCAAAACGTCGTTCGCTTTGACGTTGTGTCGGCTCACGTCGGACGTTTACCTGCAAGGCATACTCGTCTTCATCATTGTTAGCGTCAACGTCTTGATGAATGCTATCTGGGTCACAGCACTCGCCATGTGCGCGCCGACCGAGTCGGTGACGAACAGCAAGATTCCTGGGGAGTGCTGGAGCAGCCCAATTCTCTTCAAGCTTTCACTTGCCAGTTCTTGTAAGCCTCCCACTGATCGGTTCCTCTCGTCCCATCATTCAATGGGCTGATCCACGTGCTACAAAGTTTATTCAGCAGTCCTAGATCTCATCCTTGCGATTCTGCCCTGGGTCGTTCTCAAGGATATGACGCTGAGCACACGGGAAAGGCTCGGGGTCTGCATCGCCATGAGCTTAGCCGCCCTGTAAGACCGCCTCGACCCATGTCGTGACTTGACAAGCCATAGCTAATCATTCCCCAAGCGCTGGTGGGATCGCCATGGCCAAAACATTCATGGTGTTCCATATGTCTTCATCAGACTACACTTACTCTCGCGTCAACTTGGTCATACTCGCATTCGCCGAGCCTGCCATCTCAATTATAGCCATGTCTATCCCCGTCCTGTAAGTTCGATAGACCAACACCGGATCCAAAGGCACATTCTGACTTGAAATAGCCGGACTCTGTACCGCGGGATCAGAACCCGCCGCCGAAGCGAGTTCGGCAGCAAGTCCTCCCAAGCTCCCCTCCGCCAGCCGACATTCTCCAGCTGGACCTCCGTGCAGGGCCCCTCATCACGCAGATCCACGTTGGGAAACCTGTGGAAGTACGGCCACCACTCCGTCATCGTCTCGGCCGGCAGGCAGGGCTCGGTGGCGCCGCTGGATTCGGGGAGCGAGTCGAGGAGGCAGAGCACCAAGATTGTGATACCGCCCCGGGGCGTGATGAAGACAGAAGAGATTGTCGTCCGTCATGAGAATAGATATTCAAGGGGTGACAGCATCGCTGCCATGACTACTGCATCAAGCGCAATTGAGAAGTCATGGTGAATAGGATGGGAAAAACCCATTGCAGTATGAGAGCTACGGACGTCACATGAATTATAGAAACGAAATAGCGAAGATATGTACTGTTTCAATCAGTATACGTTAATTCTCTCATAGATATATTAGTGTATCTAGACAAGATCGAATCAGGTCTATCACCACGCATATTCCAGCCTCTAGCTATAATCTAAACTTGACATATATCGATCATTCCACCTCGGCCCACTGCCTCCTCAACATCGCCATCCGGGCCGGACCCGACAAGGTCGTTGCCTCGTTCGACGCCTCCTGGGCCTGCTTCGCCATAGTGGCCCCGGTCAGCAAGTAGTCGTTGGCATGCCCGTACCCCGCGTACGAGTTACCAACGGTGTAGCTATGGCCGATCGTGTTATCCACCGAGTGGCCAAGGAAGTTGTAGAACATGGACGAGGACCGGAGCCGGTTGGCTTGGAAGGCAGCCATCTGCATGTCCGACTGGATCCGGTCGCAGACGGCAATGGTGGCGCACCAGACTTCGTGCCGCTGGTTTCCGATTGCTAGGAATCCCTCGAGGTCACCAGTCTTGCAGGCCTCCATGTAGAGCTTTCTCATTCGTGGTGAATACATGTCACACATCCGGCCTTTGGGGTCTGGATCCCCCTTGAGCGCGAATCTCCCTTCCAAGGCAGTCCCCTTTGCAAAGGATACATAGCACTCCTCGCATATGGCCGAGACACCCCAACCCCAGAATTTCCTATTCTTTCCGCGCCGATAGTGGTCTCGCGGGCAGGTGAGAACGTTTCCATACGTCTCGGCGTAGTCCCCGGTAAATTTCGGATCCCCTGTTAACGCACTCTGGACGAACCGAGCCATGTAATTGCCAAACCGCCCGTGTTCAGAATTAAACACGCATAGAATCTTTGGCTCGAACCATGGATAATCGCCTTTGTCGACGAAGAAGTGCTGCGCTCCCATGGGTTCAACGACAGCGGCGAAACAAGCCTCGCATATCCCAAACCCGGGTGGGTTGTTAGGAAGAGTGTACCACTTCCCCTGGATCCCCTCAGTGGTGCAGGGCTGGCTCCTAACAACCTTCGCAGCTTTCCAGAATATTTCCCGGTCGTCCTTCCAGACAGTCGTGTTCGCGGCAATCTCCAAGTAGGAATTCCCTATGTCGCAGTGCGTATCGTAGTCTCCGCCGCCGACCTGGTGGAAGACTTGGGCATCCGGCGTGCCAACAAAGTAGTCAAGGTAACAAGCTACGCAGATCTGCATACTCGGACGGCCTTCGTTGGTTTGATACCAGGGAAGTCCTTGCGCCTTTCTCTTCCCACCCTTTGGGCAAGCGGGCATCGAGATGCGAGCACTGACACCCTCCACGAAATTCTTCCACTCTTCGATTTTCTTGGTCTCCTTCAACAAGCGATCGATAAACGTGCAGGCTAGATCGCAGGTACAGCCATTTGGGATCGTCTGCAGCGTAAACTTCTCCCGGATCACAGGTTCGATTCCGGCATCCTCGAAGCACGCTGGACACATGGTCGACCCCTGGATGTCTGTACTGACATACCAAGCTCTGCCCTCAACTGAAGCAGCCGCAGGACACGGCGGGAGGGCGGCTCTCATCTTCATGTACTCCAGTACCGGAGCCAGGTCGCCGGAGGAGAGGGCCACGGGCCAGAGCTGCTCTTTCAACCGGCGGGACGGGAAGCTACAACATGGGCTCTCGGCTGCCTTCATGTGGACCTTTTCGAAGGATTCATGGAACCTGGGGTCGTAGACATGCTCTGCGTAGCATCGGGAACAGATGTATAGTGAAGGAACGGCAGGATGGTGGAACCAATCCACGTCCAAGTTGATACCGCCGGCAGCGCATTCAGCGAGGGGAGTAACTCCGCAAGGGTGTGGTTTGGGGAATTTCCATGGCTCTGAAGGCTTGCGAGGCGACTGACCTTGCCCCACTGGGTCTGTGGGCTTCAGATTAGGTTTTTGAGATGGCTGGTCCGCTTGGGGAGAGGTGGGAACAGGCGGTTCCGAAATACTCGGACGCTGTTGAACTGGAGGGGCCCAGTTCGGAGGCGGCCCTGGTGGGGGCTCAAAGTCGGTGTCCGGATCATAGGTCGGCATATGAGTAGGGTCGGGTAAGTGAGTTGAGCCCTGCCGGTGTTGAGGCGGGACCTGTCCTGGGGCCTGCCTTGGTGTTTTATGGTCCTGGATACGGAGGTTCTGTAGCTGGCTCCCAACTAACTCTATCTAAGCATTGCACATGGGGTAGGTTCACCTCTTTCCATGGGGAGGGATATAGAGATCGGATAGTGCGGGTGGATGGTTTACTCACGGGCGTCTCCCCCGACGGGAGAGTCCTGTAGGGAGGACAGAGAATTCATGAGATAGCTTTGTCACAAGGCGAATATCAACATCCAAAACAAGCGTCGGTGAATATGACCTAGGGGTAGAGGGAGATTCCTATAAGGCCTGAGGATGATGATGCAGCCTGCATCATGTAGGTTGTTCCCACGCCAAGAAGAAACAACGTCACTGCCGCCGTACCGTCTATTACGAATTTCCTATTTTGGGAACGGGTCTGTTCCGTTTGGCGGAGCCGGGGCCAGATTCATTACTAATCAGTCCAGCCTGCCTAACAAAACTGTCATTGAAGGGACTGCTATGGGAATATCTCCAGCCCTGCGAAAGATTACGACAAACTACTGAACCTGGTGCTTCTATCTACAACTTGGAAAGAGAGCGAGCGACCCTTAAATTGGTGAGCTCGTAGCGACGAGGATCATCCACGTCGATACAACTTACATAATGACACTTCACGTTAAGTCCAAATTGTCACATCTAGCCTACCCTATATGCCCTCCATTTCGCCAATCGATACTAAGGTTATCTCGGTATTAAGAAGCAAGGGATTAAAATAGTTCTAATTCCTTATAGCTAAGGCAGGGTTATTTAAGTAGAATACTATTAACAAGAAGAATAAGTAGGGCTGCTTATAATAGTACTGACCAGAAGGGAGGAAAGGATATGGAAGAAATCAGGGTTCAGCAGAGGATAGCCTTAATAAAAAAAAGCTTTTAAACCTTTAACACAATAAAAGATAATACAGTGAGGGGTAATATCTTCCATAATCTACTAATATGCTTGTTCGGGCGGCCTATTCCAGACGTAGAGTCCAAGTACAAGAGCCTATGAAATTTCTTCTGAAGCCTCATAGTTCGTGACTGTTGTTGACATTCTATTTAAAACCCTAACGAGCTATTGAAACTCCTTAAACCATTCATGCTGAAGTATCTCATCTACATCCGGCCTCTTTTTAGGCTCCCACTGTAACATTTTTTGAATCAAGTCCATAAAGATATTCAGCCCATCTTCTGACATATCAAAGGGCTTCTGAATCCTTGCACGATACCAAATATCGCCAAAATAATAACTATCCTTACCAATTGGAGCCCCGTATATAGATTTTTCAGCCTCAGATAAGTCCAGGGCATTACCATCTTTATCAATATACTCATCAGCCTCCTTCCACTGAGTGCGCATTGAATGTGGTATAGGACCCAGTCGCCGAGTCAGGTCATAAAGCTGGCGACATCGGGTGTAGCCAGGCATACTTGTGCTAGTAAGCAGCCAAATTAACTCATCCAACATAACAACCCTCCAAAGGAGGAGACCTGCTGAAAATATATCAGCCTTGTATGTAGGTTCCAAGCCAAGTAAATCCTCTGGCGGGCGATAAACTGGCTCAGTTTTAATCGAGGATTTGCTACACTCATTAAATGGGAGAGCAAATCCTAAATCCCCAAGAATAACCCTGAATTCTTTATCCAGGTTTAATGTTCCAGGTAGAGGTGTACCCCTAACAGTATACTGGAGCTCTCCAGGCTTAATCTCTTTGCCGTCCTGTCTGATAAGTACTTCAATACCATCGCGAGTACCGGTAAGATTCGCTTTATTCCACTCCGTAGAGTGTGGGATAGCTTGCCGATCACCTTGACCAAAGCTCTCCCATTTAGCATCAATAGCCGCTCGGAATTCTTCGGCCTTCTCCTGATATTCATAGTATTCTTTCAGGAATCTCCTCTCCTCTTCATCGGCGATTTCTTCTTGCCTTCGTCGTTCTTCCTTTTGCCTTTGTCGCTCTTCTGGATCAGATGGAAGATCATCGTCACTCTCATCGTCTCCTTCATCATATTCTTCTTCTTCTTCATCGTCATCTTCGTCATCATCATCATCTTCTTCCCCCTCTTCCTCTTCCTCTTCCTCTTCCTCTTTAACATCAGCGGGCCAAACAGACTCCTGGATGTCATTCTCAGATAATAAAGAGAGATCATACTGCAACGCGGTAAACACATTCGTGGGTCGGATATCGCGATGGGCCAGCTCCCTACTATGCAAGTAGCTCAGTCCAGATAGGACTTGCCAGCATATTTTCTTAGCCACGGCTGTCGACCAACCGTCACCTTTCTGTGCCTTCCAAGTCCAGGATTCACCCTCATTAAGCGTCCCCCGGAGATCAAAGGCAGCATTAAGGACACGGGTTAGCGAGCCGCCATAAGGCTCCATCACCTTGCAGTAGTGGGTTCCATTAGGTCCAGTAACAGTAAACGAGCCTAACGAGCTCTCTACATAAGACGCTCCTGGGTGAGGCGTCTGATCTTGCCGTAGGTATTCGTCGATTTTCTCTTGGTGCTTGCCTCCTTGTGCCTCATGGACTTTGATGGCCACATATGATCTCTCCTGCTTACTAGTAGGATGAGAAAAAGTCAGGGTGTGATTGCTAAAGATGGTGTAGAGAATATATCAGATGTACCTGCTATCTCGAGCCAGCCAGACGGTGGATTGACCCCCAGCACCTAACTTGCGGAAAATCTGGTACCGACCGTCAAGAACATCGCCGAGGTGCACTGGGTGAAAACCACCAGGTTTGTAAGGCCAAGGGCCCTCCTATTTAATAAATATTAGCGGACTCCGGTCATGATGAGGGTAGTTTTCGCTTACGCCCATAAACCGAGTGTTCTTGTACATATTCGAAGGGGTTTGGATGTTGTCTTGTTTTTCGATGAGGCGGGGTAATTAGGTGACGGCAAATGGAGAGTAATAAAGCAGATCAGGGTTATTAGCGTTAGAAATACCTACGTATTCCTTCTTAGTGCTCCCGATCAGTCGCGGCATAATGCGACTGCGCCCCGTCATTTGGATCTTTGGGGGCGAGAGCCACTGTTTGGCACACTACTGCCCCGAGCGCACAGCTGCTTGCGTCACATTGAATGCAAGTGCACCTCCTCGTCGTCGTTCTAATGGTGCAGAGACGTGGCCACAGTGTTGTCTGTTTAACCCCATACAGTCTGCCGTGAAATGGACTGGGATAAAGTCGCGTAGGGAGGACACGACTCCGATTCCGTCCGCGCGGATTCGGATGCCTGCACACACAAAAAGAGTTGTTTTTTTCATGGCCAGATTTATCCCTGTTAATCTCGCCTTGTGGACACCTCGGCAATCGCGGCATATTCTAAGATGGACGGCACTTGAAAAGCGGGTAGTTTTCTGCAATATGAGATAATAAGTGCTGACTGTTGCCAAAGTCCCGCCCCCCATGTAAGAATGCTAGGGACTTTCGCCCAACTAGTTTGCACAAAAGTTCATCCTTTATCTTACCACCTCTCACAGGCGACTGTAGGCGTCCATGTCTCAAAACCTCTAAGGCACACCAGAGGGGTATACTCTTATATAGGACGGAAGGGCAGCTAGTGCCTCATTAAATAATACAATTATGTAGCTATATGAGCTTGCGAGAGTTGATTCATAGAGACCCAACATCTATGGCTTCCGTCAAGACAAGAAATCACTGTTAGAAATGATCTAGCCGTTATCCCTTGCGACAGTCACGAAAAATCTGATCTCTATGTCTTCTGTATCGACGAGTGATAGCTGTAAGCCGGCCCTCGCAGTCAGCGGCTGCGACAGTCAATTCGTAGAAATCTGACCTCTCTTCCATTATGACGTGAGATCGCTGCAGACCTGACCTATCTGTCTTGTGTAAACAAGCGATAACTGTAAGCAGGGCTCCATAGTCAGCGGCTACGACAGCTAGATCGCGAGGAGCTGACCTCCCTGTCTGCTGCTGTGACGAGCGATCGCGGCGGAACCGATCTCCGTCTACAGCTGAGACTGGCGATCCCGTAGCCGGTCATCAGGGGATGGATCCATTGATGCATTTAATCGGCACAGCATTGAAACGATGGAGGGTGGTCAATCCAGGGGTATCCCTATGACCCCATTTTGGCCCATACTACTGCAGCTCTACTGTTTATCCTTTAGCTCTGTAGCTATTTAAGGGCGCAATTTGTATACCTAATGCTATTAAGGTAGATCTTTTGTAGAATCAGCCTCGTACACCAAACTTCTAACGGAAATAATATTTTTAGCAGCCTACTTTCAGCCCTGGGCTTTCCGACATCATGCTCTTCTTAACAATCTACTCGATGGAGTATGACTTGAACATTGCATTAGGGGTATATTGACCCTCCTCGATATCTCTTCTCATAGCCTCCTTTCAACATCAAATTTCTTCTTTTGTCTGGGAATATCATCTCTCATTACCACCTTTCAACTTATATTTTCTTCTTTTGTTCTTCCTTGTTTATATATATATACATATATATATATAAGCGCCCTTGGTGTTCCTCATCATCTCCTTCTCATCCGCCTTCGTGCACACATATTTGTCCACATCTTTCTGTTCATCACACTTTTGCATACTATATCCGGTTATGCATTTCACCAGTATCGCTTCAGTGGCTTTGGCGCTGGTCGCTTCTGCCACTGGCTTTCAAACAGACGACGTTTTCAGAAATGCCCCTCGCAGCTCCTACGATGTCGGCATCAATGACAATGTCTTCGCCCGCCAGCTCCCTTCTATACCCGGCCTCTTGCACTCTCGCGACAATATCCCCATCGCACGGGCTCTTGAGGGGAGGGGAGGAGGGGGGAAAGGGGGGAAGGGAGGCAAGGGAGGCAAAGGAGGCAAAGGAGGTAAAGGAGGCAAGGGAAAGGAGGACAATCCCGGCCGAGCGGGTCTCAACATGCACAACAGCGAGATAAAAGGCGGTGGCTACGTGGCAGAAGCAGATAAAGAGAGAGTCAAGCAACTTGGCGAACAGGCCATGAAGGAAGCCCGTGTCACTCACGCCAGCGTCATCCATCGACCACACAAAGGCGGGGATGAAGGTTTTACCAGCAGCACGGATCCGCGTGAACACTTCACCGTCGAACCCAAGCACGGGGAAGGCGCATCCAATGGCAACATGCATGTCTACACTGACGAAAAAGGAGGATGGTCCCAGGGACCGAACGGAGAGAGTAACTCGAGCGAAAAGGTGGCAGCCGAAAAAGCTCAACAAGCGCAACATGACCCATTTCCGTCTGATTCCGATAGCGAAAGCGTTTGTGGCCGTTCCATCGGCAAACGCGGGCAGTCGTGTTCAATCAAGAAGGCTGGTGGCAATAGGAATGTAGCCAATCGCAAGAACTCTGGCCCCAGGAAGGGCACCGCCGGCAAGAATGCAGCTGCTCTCAAGAAGGCCGGCAACAAGAAGGCAGGCAACAAGAAGGCTACTCCTGGAAAGAAGTCTGGCAACAATAAGGCTACTCCTGGAAAGAAATCTGCTTCTAAGAAGGCTGGCAACAAGAAGCCTTCTACCAGCAAGAAGGCCGTAGGCAATAAGAAGGCTGCTCATGGAAAGAAGTCTGCTCTTAACAAGGCCAATAGCAACAAGAAGGCCGCTGCCTCTAAGAAGGCTGGAGGCAAGAAGACCTCTGCTCCTAAGAAGGCTGGCAACAAGAAGGCTACTCCTGGAAAGAAGTCTGCTCCTAAGAAGGCCGGAAACAAGAAGCCTGCTGCTAGCAAGAAGGTTGGAGGCAAGAAGGCCGCTGCTCCCAAGAAGGCCGGAGGCAAGAAGGCCTCTGCTCCTAAGAAGGCTGGCAACAAGAAGGCTACTCCTGGAAAGAAGTCTGCTCCTAAGAAGGCCGGAAACAAGAAGCCTGCTGCTAGCAAGAAGGTTGGAAGCAAGAAGGCCTCTGCTCCCAAGAAGGCTGCTAGCAAGAAGGCCGCTGCTCCTAAGAAGGCTGCTACTCCCAAGAAGGCTGCTACTCCCAAGAAGGCTGCTACTCCCAAGAAGGCTGCTCCCAAGAAGGCCGCTGCTCCCAAGAAGGCCGGAGGCAAGAAGCCTGCTGCTCCCAAGAAGGCCGCTACTCCCAAGAAGGCTGCTCCCAAGAAGGCCGCTGCTCCCAAGAAGGCCGGAGGCAAGAAGCCTGCTGCTCCTAAGAAGGCTGCTGCTCCCAAGAAGGCCGCCGCTCCTAAAGGTAAAAAGGGTAAATAGATAGAGCAAGGCTAATATTTAAGAGTATTTTATTATACTTATTAAAGTAACTATACTTATTCTTTTTATATATAGTATATTTTAGATCGTTATATAATCAGAGCGGGTGGATTTTCTTTCCTTTAGTTATTAGCTTAGTTCCCTTTCTTATAAGGCAGATAGACTGCTCAGCCCTATAAAAGATAATTCTTACCTTTAACTTATTCTTTATTTTTAAAACCATGATCTTTAACTTATTGTTCTGCGGCTAATCTAGCTCATACGAAGACCAAGATAATCTTGGTCAATTGATCAAATACAGGAGTTCCCAACCAAATACCAAATATATATTAATTGATTGCTTTTGTTGGTCTTAACTATGCGACTTAGTTGTAATTCCTCCTCTCTGACTAACGCCGATATCACGATCGCGGACCTACCCGGTCTTTGGTTGTGGTATTATTGGTTGGAAAATCCCACCGGCACTTAATAAGCTGGATGTTCTCGCCACACCTGAGGACGCCTTACCCGTGATGCGCTGATCCTCCCTCAAGATGTGGCGAGTGGGGCGTCTACTCAATACGACTACGACTGTGTGAAACTGGTATCGTTCCACCTTCCTCTGATGGGTATATAGGCTAATTGATATAGACACTGTTCTGTCAGTAAGTTGGCAAAGTTCTATAGGACCGAATAGAATACCACAAAATCGAATGATGGGTTGAGGGGAAGATCGACTTACAGCGACCACTTTGTGCCGAGGTCTGGCATACACCACTGACGCTTACGACGCCGACAAACCAACCATCACACACGGCCGGCCAAGGCTCTCAAACTCTACCTAATCTAGCAGAGCGGACGGCGAACTGCCGGAGTCAGATCCACATGGGTTGCATCATCTGTCAATAAGGAAACGGTTATCCAGCTTCCGATTCAGGCCGCTGCTATGCGACACGCCTTGCTAATCATTGTACCGCTCACACATTGGTATGTGGAATATCTAAACATACTTGAAGAATGATTTCCGTCCCCTTCCTGTCTCCAATATCACAGCCTTTACCGAACCGATTCCTCTCCAACAATCCGGCTAGCAGTCATGTTGCCAATGCTCTCCACTATTGCCACGCTTCTTGTGGGCAGTTCCTTCACATTTGCTCAAACGCTCCAAGATGTGACCGATTTTGGGCCTGTGTATGAAACCAGTCTTACCATGAAGATCTATGTTCCATCTGAGCTGCCATCTAACCCAGCAATCCTTCTTGCGGTTCGTCCTACCCCAATTTCCCTAACTAGCAAGGACTATCTATACAGTGGCATTGAAAACGTACCCAACTAACGTGATCGACGATCTTTGGCTAGTTGCACGGATGCGGTGGTAGCGGTCAACAATACTTCAGCTCAACGAAATACACAGGTCTGGCTGATGCCCACGGTGTCATCCTCATCTACCCTTCCACCCCCAAGGACAGCAATTGTTGGGATAACCACAGCAACAAATCTCTTTCGCACGGCGGTCACGGTGACACCGAGGTTCTGATTAATATGGTCGACTACATCGTCGACGAATACAACGCGGACGCCAACCGGGTCTTTGTCGTTGGTACGAGCTCGGGTTGCATGATGACAAATTCCCTCTCAGCAACTTATCCCGATCGCGTCGCAGCCGTTTCTTGCTACTCTGGAGTTGCCGCTGGCTGTCTAGCTGGACAGAAAGGCTCCAGCCCAATTTCTAGTGATCGTGAATGCAGTAACGGAAACGTTCAGAAGACTGGTGAGGAGTGGGCCAAGCAGGTTCATGCTATGTATCCGGGATACGACGGGAACTACCCGCGATTTTTGACTTGGCATGGCAATGCCGACACACTTGTGTTCTACCAGAATCTGATCGAGCAGCTGAAGGAGTGGTCTACCATCCAGGGAGTAGAGTTCTCTAACAACGAGACGGACACTCCCGAGAAAGGATACACGAAAATGGTGTACGGTGACGGTACAAAGCTGGTTGGCATCTTAGCGGATGGAGTTGGTCATGTCGTCCCCAACCATGAAGAGGAGGATTTCAAATGGTTTGGTCTTAAATGAGATCAATGACGCCTCGGCCCTGTTTTATATCAAATCTGATCGTGGGCAGTCAGTATGAGCCGGTACAAAGGAGATGGGATAACAAATTTCTGGAAATTACTTATCTTGTTTGGCCTGAATTTACCTGATCTTGGTCAAGATAGCAACTGGAGACTTTCTCCCACTGTCCCAGTGTTGTCTCAAATCATAGAAATCCCCAGGCCAATTATCAGGTTCTCTTAAAAGGAGCAACTAGAGGTTCTGGAAACACTCCCTTAGCGACAGACTGGAGTTCGATTGATGTAAATGCAGGCGAGAAGACCTCGAAAGTAATTAGCTTTGTTCTCGAGATGGCTAGTTAGCGGTCTCGGATAATCACCTGCGACCATAATCAGAGATCGATTAATCGCCTTCAGTGTATCGGCGGTAAGATTTAGAGTCCGATTTTGGGAGTGTTATGTATTCTTGGCTTCATACTGGCTTCGAATAGATGACAGTCTTCCTCGCAGTATCTATCCGTAAGATTACCATTCCTTTCAAAATGTGAACACGAAAAAGAGGGATGATGCTCACTGGGTCGAGTGGCGAGAAGAGAGTCTATGCGGTCATCAGCTTTGAACTATAACTGGAGGAAGCCCATTCGTAAAACTTTGGGAGAAAGGTTGATGTCAGGTAGGCATGTTGAGATGGCGGAATTGGGCGACGAACCACATAAATTTTCATCCTATTCTTAAAGGATTCGTTTCCTTCTTGACGGAGAAACCCTATGTGTTGGGACGTGATTGGGCAAGGTGGCCTATTCAAACAAGAGAGAGAGTCATCTGGCTTCAGTAAGAAAGTAGTTTGGCATGAGTATAAGGGAAAACCTACAAGTAGAAGGCTCATGAAATAATAAAAGATAGGTAGGAGATCGATGGATGTCAGATCAGAGAAAAACTTCTCTTGGGGAGCAATCGTTGATCAGGCTGGTAATTCTGTAAGGAGAGGAATGGTGATTCAGTAGGATTTCAAGCAGAAGTTTTCTGACTGATACCTATGTGACATGTTGAATCCCGCGTTCGCTGTTATGTTGTTAGACGTAAAAGAAACGTCATTGAGGAACATATTTCAGGTATCCTTAAGATTTTCGAATCGTCGAAGAGGCCAAATTAGCATTGAAGCATCTGATTGCCCTTTCGACGGCGTTCGGTCCACCCTCACCGGTCTTATTGCATGATGGCACCGACAGAATTCAGGGTTCTTTCCAGGCGGTGTGGATTGTGTGATTGTCCCCGTTGTTTCTCTCATTGCTCGCTCGATATGCGATCCTCCTCTGCATGTTGCCATTGCGTCCGATGTAGATAGTATATCCCGGATCTGTACCGACAAGAAAGATCTATACGTAGTTAGTGGTCTCAAATTATAAAGGGAACGTTATTAATATCCCGGATTCAACCGAATTCATCTCCTCCTCTCCTTATTCGGATGGGTTGCGGCCATTCCACTATCCTTACCCCCTTTTTTGCAATTTTCGCTTCCCACCGTTATGGCCACCACCCCCTGGGTGCGGCCCATTGTTAATTGTGTAAGTTCTTCTTCGCTTCGGCATAAGCACGCATTCTTCGACTCCTTGCACGTCTCGTCTTTAGGACCTCAGCTTCCCCTTTTGATCATGTTTTCAACGCTATCCCTTCGTTATGTACCCTCCTCTTGTAGTTTCTCATATTCCATCGTATGCGCAATTCGTTGTGTTTCTTATTGCCTGGCCTGGGTTAACCAAACATCCCGCTCGTCCTGGAATATTTGAGGTTATTATTCTTTGAGGGTACAGACCTTCTTTTCTTCTCAGTGTCTGCCGCCTTTCAGTAGAACCTGAGCTCCTTCTCGTTGCGGAACTCCTCTCCCTGTCTCTTATTTTGTGACCTCCTCCTCCCATTACTTCCTCCTGATCATGCTCAATTCTTTTGTTCACGTACTTGAGATGAGTTTGGCTCGGTTTTCTCTCAGTCTGCAAACTTTCTTGTTGCCCCTTTCGAATCATCTCATGTGTAATTTTACATCCTCCTCTTGCTCTTGCGGCTGCCTGCTCTCGATCTTATACGGTACCTTGTCGTTGAAGGTTAAGGTTCTTTTGACATTGCGTCATGTGCGTGGGAAGTAACTGCTGATACCCCTTCGAATTCCCTCCGAATGTCTTCCTCTTGAACTCTGTTGCCTTGCTCGGTCCCTTAACCTTTCCTTTCAACCATGAACCCCCCCACTGTTATTATATCCTCCTCTTTCAGTGGCATGCCCCCGATCGTATACGGTACCTTGTCGTTAAAGGTTAGGTTTGCCTTGTAGGCTGGGTCTTCTTTTGGGCAGCAAACTAACCCTCCCCTCTCCCAGATATTTCCCCTCCATTACTGCCTCCTCCTCTTTGATACTCTTCAACTCTTTGGTCGTTCGCGAACGTAGACTGCTTTACTCCCATCTCCTTAGTTCCTCCCTTCTCCTTGTTTTTGTCATGTGGGCATCAACTGCTCCTCCAAACCACCAGATTCCCCGTTATTATATCCTCCTCTTCCAGTTGTCTGCCCTCGATCGTATGCGGGACCTTGTCGTTAAAGGCCGAGGTTGACCATGTAGGTCATGTGTTTATGGGCAGCAACTTTGGCCTTTCCTTTCCCCCTCCCCTTCCGTCCCTCCTTCCAAACAACCCCCTTTATTGTTATATCCTTCTCTTGCCAGTTGATTATTGCCCCCGGCCGTATACGAAGTATCGTGGAGTCTCTCCCGGGGGAATGTCTCGTGGTTTCTCTTTATGGCTTGGTTCTTTACGTGCGTACCAACTTCTTGCTCCTTCTTATTTCTCCCCTTGCAAAAGTAAGGTATCCTCCTCTTCCAGCTAGCAGTCGCCGATCGTGTACGGTTCTTGGACATCGAGTTTTCTTGCGTACTTCTTCTGCTCCTTCTTCTTGCCATCCATTCTTGCGGCACTTGTTCATTCGTGTGGGTGTCAACTCTATCCTACCCTTCTACGTCGTCCTCACGTCATCATTCCTCTTTCGTTATGCTTGCCGTGCTTCCTAGACGCTACTACTCTATCCTCCTCTTGCAGTTGACAGCACTCGATCGTATACGTAGATTGGTTGGAGAGTTTGCCTGTCGTGGGATTCTTCCTTCTTCTTGTGATTATTATTCCTTCGTCTAGGCGTCAACTTCTTTCCCTCCTCGACCGTCGTCGGTACTACTGTATGCTCCTCCTCTTACGATTGAACACCTTCGATCGTACGCGTATCGGTCGGCGAACTTCTCTCTCGTGGGGTTCCTTCTTCTTGCAATTCTTTTTCATTCGTGTGAGCGTCAACTCCTGTTTCTGTCTCTCTCGACTGTCGGCGGCACTTCCTCCTCTTTACATCTACCATAGGCGGTCGCGCCATGGCAGTACGACAACATCCTCCTCTTGCAGTTGAGCACCCTCGATCGTATACGCATCGGTTGGAGAGTTGCTCTTCCGTGGGAGCCTTTACTTCTTTCGTCTTGCGATTCTTCTTCGTTCGTGTGGACGTCAACTTCTTTCCCCACCTCCTTCTACCGTCGTCGGTACTCTTGTACCCTCCTCCTCTTGATACCTGCCACATGTGGAAATGCCATGGCAGTGTCCTCCTCTTGCAATTGAACGTCCTCGACCGTATGCGACTCGATGGCTTTCTTCTGACCTCGGCCAGGGACGTCGTCGAGCCTTGCCTATGCAGCGCCAACGCCGCTCACTCGTCGACGAAATGAAGCGTTACTTCTTGGGCAGCCGGCCGACGGGCTCAGAGTCTTTTCTTTCTCTTTTTGCATTCTCTTGCAAAATTCTTTGCGTCGTTCTCGCCAGTCTTGTGAGAATCCTCCTCTTGCACTTGTTTCGATCGTACACGTATGCGGGTCACGTCGTAGAAAAGGGGTGGTGGGATGCGCCATCAGCTGCTCATCCCAGCTTAGATTGGCCACTCTTCTGCTTGACATCTTCGTTAGTTATTACGCCGTTACTTCCCAGCTGTTAGCTCTTTGCTCTCACATCATCCGATACGGCATTGTCTAGGATGGATGGCCCAGGGGCTCGATCAGCTCGATGTGCTAAGTAATCGAGTCACTTTGAAACTTACCTGCAGATGCGTTCTCTTCCTTCTGCCAATCTAGTTAGATGCTGTGAGATATTTTGAGATGTTATCATCCTTGAATGAGCAGAACCAGCACCAAAAGTATCTGATGAAACCCAAATCTCCAGCTTTGACGTACCTTTTTTGATCATTTTGTTCGCAATTTCATCCTTTAGTGAACGTAGAGCCCCAGTAGAAGCATCGCCTTTAGTGTTTCTCGTGAAATTTCGCCTCGGGTCACTTTGCTCGTCGTCGTTCGTCTCCGTCGCTCGTCGTCAGCGGTCGTCAGATGGGTGACTCACGACCCAACCCAAGTCTTTGGGCAGTTGGGGATTTTTCTGCTGCTGCTGGCGGAGTTTAGTTTGATCCATACTTGAATCTCGTCTGAAACGACGTGAAGTCATAGGCTGGGTGTGGTGAGATGGGGAAGACTGACCTCTCGGTCGCCAAGTTGACGATGTGACGATGGTGAAAAGGCAGCCACGACAGGAAAAAAACGACACAGATTATTCTCTATCATGATTTATCAGCCGTTAGCATCCTTTTGATGAAATTTCTATTGCATCAGAGGTCTCAGACCCTCCAAAAAATCTGATTGTGTAACTTGGGACGCTGTGCAACGACGCCCGCTTCATCGACGAAGTGAGGTTGATGCCCAAAACAAAAATCGAAATGGCAGCAAACAAAATAAATTTTGCATACTTACGTGAGAAAGGTAAATTTAAACGTCCGGAGATAATTTTCTGGTTCTGGGAAGCTATTTTAGTTGTGGTGTTGCTCAGTGTTGTGGGTGAAGAAATGGGGTGGGGGGGAAAGGCAGGAGCTTCTCAGCTATGCCAGCTCACCTACCCACCGAAGAGTGTGGAAGGGACGTGCATCTCAACAAGCCTACAGAGATTCTACGGGATATGCTTG